TTGGCAAACCATTTTGTCGCCGAGAGAAGCGCCTAACGATCCTACCATGATTTGCTCGTGCTGCCAGTCCTGTTCCACTCGGTAATGTATCGCCCGCACCCGCTGGCTGTAACTCGGTATCAGGCGAACAACTATAAGTCCTATCAGCAACGTACTGCGGACCCGGAGGCTCTAGATCCGACGGGCACAGCATGGTGTAGCTGGGAGACCTCGCCAGCGGCTGAAACAAGCCGTCAGAAAGCGCCGGCGGCGGTGCTCCCTCTGTCACCATTGATCCTGCCTCGGAGCCTGTCTCTCCATCTTCTTCCTCTTCGGTGTCATGAAATTCGCGCTCCGCAGTCCGTTGATTAGAGCTCACCCTGACTGATCCATCTCGAAGATCATCCTGAAGCTTCTCGTCCCCTTGGGGGAGACGTGCTTCTGAAGATAAATAACTTAGGTGATAAAGCCATAAACCGAGGTATCGCGTCTCCGTCTGATAGATCTCCTCCATCAGACTCATCTCCTGTTATCCCGTAAATCGCCACACCACTGCACGATGCACGCAAGAAACGAAAGGCTTCGCTCTCGTTTCTCTGCATCTGGTCACGCAGCTGTGGCAAACACCTGCTTCCCTGAGCATCACTGGAACTAACTTCTGCTACACCACCCAGGAGATAATCGGGTTGCCAGGAGCCACCACCCACGCCAACAGTGGCTCGATCTGCTCTCCATGCCGGCTCCTTGGTCGTTGCACGCATACTGGGACAGCATGTCACAGCTCCCCCCCAGCACTTAGATACAGCTTTGGGATGCTCCAAGGATTTCATCTACATGTACTACTTGACGATCATCAACTGAACACATAGGAGCACCGCTGTCTTCTTCAGACTAATCTAATACATAGGGTGAGGATTTTTTCTTACACAATCCCTCCCTAAGCGACTATTGCTTTACTAATACAAGTCGTACAAACTAACACTATTCAAAGGATTCGAATTCAAGACATTCAACATAAAAGGCGTTTCTAGATCCATGTCGGAAGAATCCGAGAGGCGTTCTGAACCGGTGTCTTCGGCTTGATCGGGTCGCGTGACGGTTTCTAGCATACTGCTAGTTGCCGCACCACCACGACGACCTCCATGTCGTCTAGAAGCTCTACCCCCGACATGCGGCAAGCCAGGGTCAGCTTGTTCAGATATTACCGGCAAAGAACCACTGTTGTTGCTGTGAAATCCAAGTTCAGCCCGAGCAATGGCAGGGCTGTCCCTACGCTTATCTCCGTGCTCTGAGTGCCAAGGACTCCAAGACTCGTGTGGCGGACAGGGTGTCTCCGGCTCCGCAAAATGCTCGCCTCTGTCTCCCATCCTATTATGCGAGAAAATGACGATCAGATTTGTAAAACGCAAAGAGCAATTATCAATATCCAGAAAATATAAACGATAAGAAATCGTGTTAGTACTCGTACTCATGAAGAAATAATAGCGTTAGCATTCGTATTCATGAACGACAAACAAATAGTCGCGCGAGCGGATCAATTTATCTTCCATGAATTCTCTAGACACAGCAGGATTTGAAAGGGAACTGAATTCCTGGATCTTCGGAGATCATTACCAAGACCGTCCCTGGCGTGAGCAAAGTTCCGGATTCGAGTTTTGGTGAGCGATCCCTCTTTCCTCGGGCAGATTGAAACCCTCCGGCGCCGAAGGCGCTCTATCCCAGCTGGCAAGTCCTCTGATGTTTAGAAACTAAAAGCAGTCATCGTCGGGACGATTGGTAGAAATAGTATAGTCCTGCATGTTAACATTTGTGTATGACAGCAAACACCACCAAGCAAGACGAGTAAGAGATGCTTCAGGAAGACAGTAAAAGACGAAACGGATGAAGATTACCAGATATCCACGGTAAGAAAACACTACCACATTGAGGTAAGAAGCTGACGAATAGAAGAAGCCAGCCTTAATTTGTTGTTTTTGTTCCGAGGAGCAGGCGGTGGGCTGCTAGGAACTGGAGTTCTTCCTGCACTTGCATCGACACCACGAAACTGGCTCCCCGTGGTAGACGGCACGCTGCGACTAGCACTGGACGAAGCGCCAGATCTATTCATACCAGTTGTAAAGAGCGGCAGACGCGGCACCGTCCTGCCTTGTCTTCGACCACGAAGTTGGGGGCTGCTGCTGCGCCGGCGGTGGCCCGTTCTTCGGTCAGGTGCTGTCGAGAGCGGACCGAGGCCAAAACCATCTGGCCTCGTCCGATGCGTCGGTGAACTGGGAACCGCAGCAGCACCAAGCACACCGCATATCTTAGAAATACTCATTGCGACTGCTAAATTTTCTCGCTCCCATCTAAAATAGTCCTTCAAATGTTTTTTAGCGGACGTATCTATACCATACGATACTCTTTCACTACTACCTCATACGAAAAAAAATAATTTTCGACTTTCTCTTACCAATCTGCAAAATCGCACCTCTTTTGGTTCCATAGTGTCTAGTGTTACGATGTTGACAGTCTTAATCGTAGCTCCTCGACCTAGACCGTGCGTCGCTATCCGCAAGCGAGAATATCTTGGGCGCGACGTTGCAGCCGCGTGGTGTGGCCCTCCTGGTACCTGCATTTCTGTGAACAGCGCCGTTGCTTGCCTCCCACTTCTGTGAACAGCGTCAGCTCCTTCACCTGTTCGATCATCACACTCCTGATGTTGACCTTGCTGCGAGCCGTTAGGGTCATCCACCTCGTAGCATCGCTCTTCAGCATACAGGTCATCTCCTTCGTCCAGCATGTCAACCTCGACATTGTTCACCGATCGCACCGCTCGAGAAAATGAGAAACCAAGCTGAGTGACGTCGCTTCGCCAGTCCTCGAAGACGGAACTGCCGACGAGCAACACACAAGTAAAGGACAAACCCTGCATTGTTCTGAAAGAAAAGAATGCTGGTGACTCTAGAAGACCTAGCGATCTGTCATAGTACGAGATGCATCATACAACTTCGACGGACTATATCGACTAACTATGCTAAATCCAATTTGACAGAAAAGTGATCCAAAAAGAGAAACCTCAAAACTCCAACACAGGTACGGAGTAGTAAATTCTCAACTCTGAAAATGATCGATTGGACATTATGATTAGACCATGCACACGACGTCACCGAAGATTGATGTAGCTTTAGGTAGTCAACACGATGAAAGGTTACCTATTTTATCTGTGTTTTTACATTTTCCGTTGGTCTACAAGAGCAAGATAGTAAAATACAAAACAGAAGAGAAGGTAGACACATACAAATTTACGATGCCCCCGAGAAGTAGAAGACGCCAACTAGTGACATCCAGTTAAATTCTGTTAAATCGAGAAATTGAAAAAGTGCGTCGGCATCGCCAGTTGCCAATTTTCTTTCTTGTTTGTTGAGTGTTTCTTAATACTATAGAAGCACATGGATAGGAAAATTAGGCAAAACGCTGCTGAAAGTCATGTTGATGCGTGTTGACATAGCCCCCTATTCCATATCGGATAGATGAGGCATACAAAAGCAATTATCATGTTCATGCTATTGCCTTCACGTGCGGGTATCCACGCACGCAAGCTTTCTGTAGCGAGGAACCTGCGTAAGGCCTCATAAACAGCACGTGATGGGGGTTAATATGAGTGCCATAACCTGTTATCCCGAGAGATACCAGGATGATAAACAGCCAAGCCGTCCTACTTGAACGCGAGAGCTGTAGGTGTGGAAACTTGGATCCACACTACGCGGGGGGGGCCATCATTTCCAGTATGAATCAAGTTCGCGCTTGAGAGCTTTCTTCACGCAGAGAAAGACAAACAAACAGTCAACTTAATACATTGCTGAAGCGAGGTAACGCGTCCTCTTTTTGGTTGGTGGTTCATCAGTCTTTTGCCTCAAATCGTGTCACGGTGAGGACCTTACAGTTCAGCTAAAAGTTCACTGTTCTTATTCTTGTCTTTGTTGCTCTATCTACATACATTATTCTTCCCAGCAAAAGCAGTTAGCAGTCTTCGAACGCAATCACTGCAGACAAGTAAAAAAGACGTGCGGTGTCAAGCGTCCGAAAAGTGAAGACTCAAGCAATTTGGCTACAACGAACTGACTCTTCGACCGTGTAACCCTAATTTACGTTTTCAGTACCGATAAAAGATTGTACACACTAGAACTAGCTCGTGTCACATTACAAAACTACTTCGGTACTAGATCTCAACATTTTCTCCACCTCTGTAACGTCTACATATTGTGACTAGTCTTCTGCCCGTCTACTAGATATTCTGCACATGGAGTGCCTGGGCGCCTCTCCGCTGAAAAATCAAAAATTCATCAATTATCTTGCTCGATGCCAGTACGTCGATATGATAGAATATCGAGTGATGCACTCACTAACACCAAAAAAATCAAACAGAGTGAAAACGCGTGCTTTTTTGAGGTGTGGGTTCGAAATCCATAATATCATTGACAAGGCTGTGGTCGTTCCTCTTGCGCGGGAGCGATCTTTTGCGTAAATGACTCAGGAATTCATACAAAAACAGTATGATTTGTGTTTTTTCCTGCAAAGCGGTAGTACCTATGAAATCAAGTTGACATGCATATCGATTCAAAGAAGCAATTGCACCACAAGCGTGCCATCGATCCGTTTTACAGACAATCATTGCGGTACCTCGGGGTTGTCAGACGTGGAAGTGGATCCAACAGCAATAATATCGAAGAGAGACTGCACAGATGCGAAAGCTCACACACTGAGATGTCGCAACACACAGCTTCATCTTTGAATTTGGCCGCGCAGGCCGCATTATGTTCTCTGCACAACAATGTTGAAGGATGCGCGAATCCAAACACGCTAAAAATGCATGAAAATAGACTGTCGAAAAAAGCTCGTCGGATTTCTTTGAATAGTGGATGACCTTCGCAATAGGCACAAGAAATAGCGGCAGGCCTGCCAGGAACAAAATCGTTGTGACTGTAGATGGATGCAAGTGCGCGAAGTGGTGAAAAATCTCATGTCACGATGCAGTATCGTTCTCAGCGAGATACGGGTACTATCCAAGCATTATCATGACACGTTTCAAGCATATTTCGCATGAGCTCGTTGGTATGCAAAGTGGGTACTGAACCGATCAAGACAAGCTTGCACTGAGCTCGTGTCAGAAGGACGTTCATGCGACGCCAATCGGTCAACAGCTGCCCGACCTTGCGCTCCCGATTTGACTTAACCAAAGAGACGATAACGCATTTCTTGTCTTTGCCTTGTGCTTCGTCGACTGTTAGAACCTCCGGTCGTTCTGGCCCCAAAACCTCCTTGATCAGAGCCAGCTGCCTTCGATAAGGAGAAAGTACGCCGATGTCCGCCTCGAACAATCCCAGGGAAAGCAGTGAACGAACCTTGCAGTAAGTTTAGTGATGAAAGATACATGACAGAAAGTGTTCCCGCAATGAAAAACGCTGTACAAAGAAAATAGGATGCAGAAAATATCGAACGGGTCGCAAGAACATGCTACGTAGATAAAGTTTTTTACCAGTTCCTGGCATAGATTCGCTTCACCTTGATTCTCCTGCCTCGACGCCATATCCTCGGGAAGGCTATCCATAGTATCCAGAAAGACCACTTTTCGGTCAGGGTCTAGAGCTGCCCGAAGCCATCCTTCTTTCGTTGTCACATCACCAAGTGTGTAGGCTGTATTAAAAGGTTTGGTGGATTTGTAAAGGTTCCGACATTTTGTACTAGTCTCATCGATCAGTTTTATCTATTAGTGTTTATTCTAGTTCCAGCGCGGTTGGTCCGCTTTTCGAGTGGTACTGGTACCTGTGAGCTTCCTATACTTTACTGCGTCGCTTCCACAAACTAGCTTGCCATTGTAGATGAGTTTGTTCGGAAGTTTCTGGATTTCTTCGTTCATTCGGTACTGAACATTGAGTTCTGCGACGCATGCGGGCTGCTCCTCCGATAAGCGCTCCATTAGGCTTCGCTGTAGCCCGAATTGGATCGCCTTCGGGTGCTTCACAAGAGGCTGCAGCTGGTTTGTGTCGCCGAAAAGAACGAATTTCCTCGTTTTGAACAGTGCGCACCACGTCGCCGGCTCAGTCGCCTGAGAAGCTTCATCAACCACGACGAGGTCAAAAGCGAGATGCTGCACGAGCGCGTCGTGGCAGCCGAGCAAGGTGCAAGCAACCAGCTGCACGCTCTGTATGAAACCATTGACATCCTGGATCGAATTCAAATTGCGGTTTTGCAAAAGATACGGTCGAACCTCATTGTGAACTTTCTGCTCGTTCGACCCCAAGCGCACTATCTGCATAGGCCTCTTTCCAGCTTCTGACGCGTTGCGCAACAACCTCAAGAGACCATTATCGACAGCAGCGTTCGTATAGGCGCAAAACAAGACTCGTTTTCCGTTCCGTACATACAACTCGAGTAAAGATGCAAGAACCTCGGTTTTACCTGTACCAGGAAACCCTTGGACGACGCAGTAGTCGTCTGCCTGAAAGCAGCGGCGGATCACGTATGCAATGAAGGGAGAATAATAAACGAAGCGCATTTATGGGATAAGGAAGGACGAGTGGCATTTCATCTAGGGAGTGCTTTCATTTTCTGATTCTGCATGCTTCTGATTATCAACTACAATACAATACAATATATAAATCTCGCACAAAGTGCAGACTGCCAAAAGGGGCAACAGAATCGATTCGTTCACGCGCACTAAGCCATGCGCATCGTCAGAGCGCTCTCTTCCTAGCAGAGCAGAGTATGAAAGGAAAAAGTGCAGTCTTTTTCATCTTTGCTTTTGCCATACTTTGCTGCGTCAGATTCATGCGCTGCCATTGAGTCAGACAATTCGTGCCCTCCGCGATCATCTCTGGCGGCGTTTTCGGCATTACCGTTGTGCCTACTTGCTCTCCAAGCTTAGAGGTTACGCAATTGCATTCCTCAGAACATGACTCTTGACTTACTTTAAATAGTTTAAAAAAGCCAAGGATGCTTGTGTGGAATGCAATGTTGTAACCCTTAACAAGCTCAACATCCGAAAATGTTGGCGGCTCTAGGAAAATGAGCTTGCGTTTGATTTTGCCCACAAAAGGGTTCATCAGTTCTTGTGTGCAGACCAATTGCATCAAATCTCCTCGGATTTTCGCAAAACCTCCCCCATATTCGTCTTTGTCCATGCGGTAAAATTCGCAAGTGCTCAATTGCTGCGCTGAGGCCACGCCAGCCGCTCGCTGCAGGTCCTCGATATCTGTGAGCTGCGTCGTACACATCTGCGCGCCCGCATCTGAGCGTAGAGTTGCGCGAATCTCAGTCCGCGGTCGCACGGTCACACGACGACCCTCACAATCGATGTTGACCACAGTAGCCTGAAACAAGGAGAAGGGGCCCTCCGGCTCGCGAGAAATTGTGATCTGATCTCCCACTGTGAAGGGAAGCGACAAAATACTCTGCACTAGTTCAGGCGAAGGCTGCGATCCCGCCAGCTCTTGTTGCTGCTTTGTCGTATTGGATGCTTTCGCTGCATTCTCGTCCGCGCCAAGCGTCAACGCGCGCATACTCAGTGCGGCTTCGCTCGTGCCCGAACCAAACGGACCACCGGCATTCTTTTTCTTTGGCTTGGCGCTTGCAACTGCGTAATCCTCGAAGTCGAGCTGCGAGCTGCGCGGCCCCCCGCTACTGAAGGCCTGCAATTTGGCTGCTGCTTCCGAGTCGGGCACAGAAAAAATCCAGTGAAACTGATGTTCTTCTGAGTTGTTGACTCCGAACATGTTGGGGTGGTTCGATGGCTTAACAAGAACGGCTTCTTCGAATTTGAGGTACCGCAACCCACTCGACCCACTGCCGCCTTCTTTCGCGTCTTGGTCCTTTACCTTTGCTTCAGGCGCAGCACCGTCGACAGCTTTTTGCACACCCTGTTGTGCTGAAGAAGGGTTCACCACGTTCGGGGCTTTATCTCGATTCAGCGTCGTGTTCGTGCGCCAAGGCCGCTCTTTGGCTTTTGCCCCGAGCACCTCTTCTGCATCGATCACCATCAACCATTTCTGGATGTAAGCACGTACTCGGGAATCCAACTCTGGTCGCAACTGAGGCTGGTTCTCCACACTTGCAGCCAGTGTGTAGCAACTGTGAAATTTAGCAAGTAGTCATTTTGATGCCCAGAACTCGCTAAGACAAAAAAACTTCCAGAAAGTGGCAACTCTACTTTCGACTGGGAAAACTTTCCTGAACAATCATCATGCACATTCAACAAGGTGCCAAATTTTTGATCAAATCTGTAGTTGTAGGGTCTTATATTACTGGTCTTTCCGAAAGCAGCGCTTACAGTCTGAGGGCTCCATCCCATTTTCTCTGGGTATCATCGGGGGCCAAACCGGACCGCGCAGGCGCCCTTCTTCCAGTGTTTGTCGTCGCCGTTGAATTGTAGAGGCGAGCATATTGCGAATCTGCATAATCGCGCGTACATCGAAGCGCGATATCCTCTTCGCCTCGTATGTACATTCGTCTTTGTGTGGATATAAGAGCAGAGCCGAACTACTGCAAGCCTGGAGTTCTGGCTGCAGTTGCTGATTTACCTGGTTCATGGGATAGAAAAAAGAATGTGGAGCAATGGATGTTTGTATCACAAGAAAAGCTGAACTACGGACTACTACCTGTTGCCAAACATCTTCGTGAAAATACTTTGCACCGGTTAGGGTTTTTGACTCGAACTACTCATCAAGCAGAGTAATTTTACAAGTCCAGGGTAGTTCAGATGTACCAAATCGCACAGCAGCATGTAGTAGACCGTAATTTGTCCGACATGCTCGGTTCTAATGCGACCGGTCTTGATTTCAAGTGCTGCCGTTTTGTTCGCGTCATCAGTGCGCACCAAACCATCTAGCTTACCCTTGAATCCGAAACGATGACTGCAGACATTCTGTTCGTTGCCGACTAGGTGCCGTATCCGAGGCTTCGGCTTGCCGCCGGCTTTTGCGACCACGTCCACACCACCGAGAGGAACGTAATACTGCTGAGCCCACTTCGTTGCGTGCTTCAGCCGGTTGCGGCATTCATTAAACATTTCGTCCGTACTCACACCGATGTGCCAGAGCTCAACAAGTGCCGACTGCACGTTCTCCCGCAACACGTTGTCCATTGATTAGAGTAGGAGAGTCAGCTTTCATTTCTTTCGCAATAACGACGTCGAAAGCGACAACTTCTCTTGCTGTTGTACAATTGATCCAGTGGTTTTAGGCTGCAGTACAAGCATCCTGGGGTCACTAGACGCTATCTAAGAACAAGCTCATTGCTTTCTATCAACTTGAAAATGGTGCCATGCAGAGACGAAAAGCTAGAAATATAGAGCAAAGCGTCTGAGAAGTCCAGAGACGACGAGCTAGAAACATAAAGAAAAGCATCTGAGAAGTCCTGCGCGGCCATAGCTGCCTGCAGGGCACCATGTACAATGTTCCCCAAAACTAATGCCCGACTTCCGGCATTCGTCGAACCCGCGGCCTCCGAAATCTCGTATTGAATAAGTGCATAGCGCCTGCAATTCAGTGCATTTGAGACTGCTGTGCCAGTAAGAATTAGACATGAAACAAAGATTTAACGAAGAAGAATTCCATCTACCCCACTTTGGAACAACTGTCTCAACGGGTTACTTGCACCATGCTGCCTCGGCACAGGCACACTCGCTCCACACAAATACATCATTACAGCTTAATAGTTAGTGACCATCAAGTTGTCGATTCTCCTAAAAGAAGCACGTCCGGATGCATGACCAGTAAGCGGTGCTCGTGTTGAGGATTATCCGAGAGCTCACAGTGTCGCGTCTTCGCTATTTGATCATACATCGTGGGATCTCCCAGGAGGTGCACGACGTCGCCCACGTCTAGCATCCACGTTTAGAGCTACCCTGAGGACCATCTAATAGACTATCTTTATACTATAGCAAAGATGGCCACCACCATTCCCACTAATCATGCCATTGATTCTAATCCATCCCTTTCCCTGTGCAGCATCAATATATCTGTAGTAGTTTAGAGGCAGCCTTAACAAGGGTTCTCGCGGTGTTCCTGACACCAACTGCCCTGCAGAGTTACGTGAAAGTGTTTTCCATCTTCTCCGCAAAGCTGAAAGCCAACGGCGTTTGCATCACGGGGATTCTTCAAATTAGCTTTCACCACTTTCGCGCGAGTACTCCTAGTGAGTATATACAAGGTGAAGTTATATTCATATTCAAATATCAAGAAGTCTTTCAGATCATTGGCTTTCTAAATCATCGCTTAAAAGCTTATCTATTTGGAGAAAGATCTCGGACGTACTTAATCATATCTTTTCTACCTGTATAAATCATTCTTGTGTTTCTCCGCGAGCAATCGCATTCGTAACGCAGTCTCCTCGCCTACGTCGACATCCTGCGTCGCCGGGGGTTTTGACGTACTGGAGACCGCCCCGCCGGCTCCCGAGACGCCGGCCACGCCCAGGGGCAACTGTTGCCGCGTTGGACTCGGCCCTCCTGTCCGCATTGGACTCGGGACACCCTGAAAATTTTTGTTTCCACCATGACTGATGCGGGGTCGGCGAGGAGCACCGTCACCCAGTTCTTCAAGCGAGTTTCGCGCTCGCTTCATTATACCTCGAAACCTAGATCTCGGCCACAGGTGCTTCCACATACATCAACAGGAGCGGCACTGGCGACACCACCTTGCGTTCTTACTCGTCCGTCATCACCATACTTTACTTGTACTTGTGCCAGCGTTTGGTCATGATGGTGGCTCCAAAACAACTGAATTAGGAAAAAAGAAGGACAAGGATCGACGGTGGAATAGTGATCAAATTTCGGTCCAGAAATTTCCCAACCAACTTCCAAACAGATTCAGCTTACTCACCGATGAATGTTGCAAAGTCAGCCTCTTCTAGTTTTTGTAGTGCACTCAATGCACATGCACACGACCGCACACGTCAGGCTCTTTTGTTTGCTCTAGCGGCTGCTCAGTTCTAAGGAGCTTCAGGTCGGTAAAAGTTTCCATCCTATGAGAATTTTAGGTAAAACAATTTCCACTTGTTGCACGTGATTAAAAATTTCACCTTTTGGCACCATGCTTGGCGTTCCTAACAAACAGTCAATTATCGAAAACACTGATAAACTTAGAAATCACAGAGCACATGCTTCGGCGTAAGGGCCTGAACACTAGCGCCTCAATTGGCTTCAGCATCAGCATGCCACCCGCACCCGCAGCCGTTGGCAATAACTTTTTCGTTCCACGTCTGTTTACTTTAGATTTTCGGGGGTTGCGAGATCATTAACTTCACAGTGAGTCCACAACGCGTTTGTGAGGTATCTGGTTTCCTTGCGGGGACAAGAAGGGAGTAGAAAACTTCAGTTCGTCTCTGTCTTGTATTCCTAATACGTCCATCGTGAGGTCGACAGACGGTAGGGTAAATCAATCTTGGTAATTTTTTTCAGCGAGCGACGTCAAAAATGAACAAGAAGCTGTTGCTTTGGATTCTTGTGAATCACCATTTCACAAGACCACGACTGTAATTAGACTAGAAAAAGAAAATTACACAAGACGCGAACAAGTGCTTGTTGAGAATTAGCGCTAGGTAGTTTAACATTGATTTGGTTATCAATTACAAGATCTTTGACTTGAAACACAGAAACTTCTATAAAAATGAATCCATACATGAAACCAACCATGAAATCGAGCATCAGCTACGCTGACCTCTGGCCCCATGGTTGTTGTCGCGGAAGAAGCAGCACCAACAATTTTGCAATTGACGCTCTCTATTGTGCAGATCTTGTACTTCTGTTGTGAAAGCGCGAAAGTGACAGATCTCTGAAGCATCCCTATCGCGATTTCTCGCAAGTGCTTCCAGGCGTGATGCGTAACTTGTAGAAATGAAAAGGAAGAACCTTGTGCTAGACAGATTTAGTGAAAATAGACTCAACTTGTTCGTCAAGACGAGTTCATACATCATATACATCAGATATTGCTAGCAATAGCAATGGTGAAGCGACAGACGTACGAAAATTTGGGTAGCGTAGTCAATACATATTTGCTAATCATTACAAGCATTTTTATGAACACATTCATTAGTAATAGCTCAGCCAGGAAATTCACACCGATGATAATCTGTAAGAAGTAGACCCGACCATCAAAAATAACGTCACTCAAAGTCTACTCGAATATTAAGAACTATACTAGGTGGTACGTCAACACCTCCTCGTCTAACAAGTTTAGGCCGTTGACAGCAACATCGCCGTTCCGCGCTTGATCCAGAAGCCTGGATCATAGGCGCCAGATTTGAGCTCTATGTACAGCTGGAGTTAGACCTTACATATCTTCATCTTGAAAACCATCTTTGACGCGTTTTCCTTCCCTTAGAGAAACGGTGATCAAAGACGATGCTTCTCAAGATGAATTACTGTAAGCCTTAATGGAACGATGCTCGTGTTGGCGAACCGACACGGTCTGGGTAGGTGTAGAGAGGACACTGGTAGATATCGCCTCCCGCCGCCTTCTTCTTCACAACCGGTTTGAACATAATAATCGGCATGCCGGAGAACAATTGCATTGGCTCTGCATCTGCGAGGCTCATGTTCTCGTAATCCCACTTGGCACCCTCGATGATAAGGGAGCGCACGTACGCACCTGTGGTCATAAGCAATTGTAGGGAGAAGTGCTGGTGTCACGTCGTATTGTACTCTTGACGTTAACCATAATTTTCTAGGGCAAGCCCCTGCACCGCTGGAGCGGAGCTCTCTCTCTTGGAAGGAGAAGTGTGGCTAGCTGATGGACATGCCAAAAATTTTACCACAACTCAGCTGTTAAAGAAAATCCATATCACTTTTATCAGGTTGTTTACCTTCCTTTGGCGCCTGCGTGATTTGACTGGGGTCTGGTGTTGGCTGGGCCAGGAAGTCTTAGAAGAGAAATCCATCGTCACTGAATCTATACTGATGCTTCTTTTCATACCCTTAGAAATAAGCGGCACCACACCAAGATGTTAGTTCGGGAAGATGGATTAGGTGAAGCCTTAAAAGTCGAAGGCCAGTTGATCCACCGCGATAGTGTTCTTTCGTGCGGAATACTGCAAGCAGGCTGTGAGGAAGCCGGTCGTTAGATGAGCTCAAGCTTAATTCATTTCTTACTTCCATTTTTTCACCTTCCTGAGAGGGAAACAGTGAGAAATGCGTATAGAAATGATGACGAGACGAAGCGAGGAAGACCAATGTACTTTACATTTCTCTAAACAAAGACTATCTTTCTGAGCCTCGTCAACTACTACAACTAGCCGCACTGGATGATGGATTACATTGAGCCCTAAGGTCGGATACGTGAAGGATGCCAGCCAGAACACCATAGGCATCTCCTCAAGACCCCAGCGGACGAAGCAGGTGATACGTTCCCTCAGATCCGGCATCCACGAGGACAATGGCTTCGCGGATGGATACGCGAACGTCCAGGCACTCGGAATGCGACCCTCGAAGAGCGCATTGAACACGAGCTCCTGCTCCTCGGAAATGACGACTAAACCTTGGATACCCTTTTGCAGCTCCTTCAAGTTCGCACGCACCTTGACTAACAGCAAGTTATACCTCTCAATCTCCTGCAAGAGAACAACCTTGTACGGACTATTGTCCTTCTCATTGAACTTCGCAACTTCGTCCCAATCAACGTCATCCGGCAGCTGGTCGAGCAGCGTCTTCGTCTGGTCAAACACCATCTCGTCCCTGAAAAAAATTAAAATGAATAAAAGAGGTATGATTTTTCATATTCGGGGAATTTTTTTTTCAGGTTACTTGTTAGCACTCAGTGAATTGTAAAAAGGGACAGCAATTTGTACTTTGTCTTCGTCTTCCCTTGTCCGCCACCTCCGGTGTCTGATTGCATTCCGGCAAGGATGATGAGTGTATCTTCACTCTCTTGTAACGCTGAGCTAATCTCTGCGTTGACGTGCTGACCGAAGGCTTCTGGTGACTCTGCCATAGGTTAGGGGGTGCGCTATTGCACTCTTCAGAACACCCTTACTTGTTTCCTATTGGGAAACAAGTCAAGAATGGTAGTAGCGCAGGATGCAATGTGGAAACCCATAAATAGGCCAGTCTTTTATCATCGTCCCGTACGCTTGGAGAGTGTTATCTTCCGGAATGTAGTAGGTCGTCAGCGATGACAAATAGAACTTGTTGTTCTGTATCGCCTCGGGACAGAAGAAGTCGTTCACGTACCTGGTGGTGGTCGTGATCAAGACGACGTGGAAGCACGTGTAAAAAAAATCGAAACAAACGATAGATAACGTCAAAGCCGTCGCGCTCCTGTGAGAAACTACTAACTTTTCATTCTTGCAAGCCTAGCTTCGATGATTTGCTCACAGCAACTAAAAAACATCACCAACTAACCAAAGAAAGCAACAATCAATCTGAAGAAGAATCTGCTCGTTCGTAGTCGTAACCTCAAGACCAACAGAACCAAACAAAAATATCTATCTTCTAAGATTACGCTCGCAAGACGCGATTGTCCGTAGCCTGTGTGACTCGGCCACCGTAGTTCGCTTCCGCGATGAGGTACTTCATCGCATCCCACTGCACTTCGGTCGGATATTCGTCGAGGTACATCGCAAGGATGTTCTCGCACATGTCGAAATCGGAATCGTTGAAATCGTACGGGCTGTTCCAACCCAGCGTGCGAAATTTCTTTCTCTCTAGAAGGATGGCATGGAACCACACCAGTGAGAAGTACAATCTCCTGTATTTGAAGGCCTCCTTGACACGATTGTACTGCTGTGGGTCCATATTCTGCACCAATCGGTTACAGTTCGCCCGAAGACCTTTGAGCAAAGATTTGAGAGAAGGAACTACTTGGTCTAGAAAGAACACAAAATGCAAGGTGATACATCGAAGGAAAAGCAGAGAGTTCTTCGTATTCAATCCCTAGAAAGTTGTTCATAAATCAACTTCTAAAACTACCGGATCAAGTAGTAGCAGCAGTCGTAGTAGCAGTGTCCCAAACCGTGGGGTATAAGTGCTATACTAATTAGTTGTTGTTCATGAAAGATTCTTACATTGTAGCAGGCTTTGAAGTCCAGAACTTAAACTTCGTAAGGAAGTACCTTTTGGTGGTTCTGTCACCATCTTGATGCACTTTTGTAACAGCGCTATCGGGAACACTTTTGTCGGGCTACTGGACAACCACAGCCGGAAGTTCGGGTGCGGCTTGTCTTCTACGACTTTCGCTTAGAACTTGCAGAAATCCATCCCGGTGAGTATCTCCGTACCCGTTTCCCTTTAGAAACGGGACAAAGATGATTGGAAAGATGTATTTCCTCAAACCTTAATTCTCGAAGAGTTTCTCAAGTCCTGGTAACCATGATGCCGACAAGTGGCAATTCGCAAGTAAGGCCCACGATCCGGACTTGGCGGCATCCAGTGTCAGCTTGGTGGCCTTTGGCGCCTGACCCTGTCCTAAAGAAATCGTGCTCCATTGAAAGTTCCTCTGGTTAGCCAAGGCGATCAACAACGGCGTCGGGTCCATACCTGGTGTCAGCACAAAGAGCAACGGGACGTCGGCCTGCGATTCCTCGTACACTGTGGCGAGATCAAAGGGCGGTGGCTCGACGAACTTGCTATCAAGTTTCACGCTCACGAAGACGGAAATGGCGGGGAGCACGCGGTCCAGTCGTAGGCAGCGTACTACAACCATTTTTTGAAGCGGACCCAGCTTAGCGTCCCACTCGCCGGGAAGGGACTCAATCTCCGGCTCTCCCATACTAAACCACTTCTTCCACTCACGAAGACTCTGTTCCAGCGAGCGCTGGAACCCACTGAAAGCCGGTACATTGGTATCCAGCTCCGTGATGTTGTCCCACATTGCTGGGGTAATCCACTCAGGAGCAGCGTTGCTGGGCTGTAAAAATGTTGCATCTACATCAACAGCGAGATTGATATTTGCAAAACAAAGAAAGAGAAATCACGTTGTAAAACTTCATCTCGAAGGCGAATGAAGCAAGCGTCTATAAAGTAGTCCATCTAGGACTCATAAGGACCTAAGCACAACAACCAGTGCAAACACCAAAGCAAGTGAATAAAGTACTAAAAATTACACCAGGTTGGTACCTGCGTACTCCTGTCCATGACTTGGCCACCGCGTAGGAAGAATGCGTACTCTGTTTAGAGCTTACCAACATATTCCATCTTCTTGAGTTACATAACATACTTAGTGTGATCGTGGGCCGTTTTCTCTTTAAAAGGCACAACTGATTAGTCGAAGAGAACTTGTAATACTACAAAGGCATCAAGTTAGAGTATCGAAACAATACAAGGGCACAACACTGCTAACCCCTAGTGCTTCAAGCATCTAAAAAACGTATCTCCAGCAACATGTGTTGCCCATCAAGATGGATTAGGGGAAGCCTTAATCTGTATCGTTCCAATCCTCTTCCATGGACTTGAGGACTTTCGAGGCTATATGGAGGCTAAGCATCAATTTGTGCCTCTCGAACAGCCCTCGGCAAGCGTACTCTTAGAGCTACCGCGGCTGCATCCCTGATCGTATTCCTGGCTTCTTTTTCATGTAGAAAAAGAGTCAGGGATGGCTGCTGAGGATGCTTTGGCGGTAGCCGTAATATTTGTAGACGGCTAGTGAATGATAGGCATTCAATATTTCTATCCGATCTTCGACATTGCTCGCGCCGCCGCCTTTGTCTGCCGATCGCTCGATTGACATGACGAAGAGTTTCTCGTATGCTTCTAGCGAGAATTGGTACATCGGATCCACGGTGACGAGGTCGTTGAGCACGAAGTAGAGAATGGCAGCGCGCAAGCCGCAGGGTCGGTAGTTCTCACGTGCGGCATCAATCTTCGCCATCGTGGTCACCGCTACTCTGATTAGAGGCGCAGGAAATTCATCCAAGAAAACATCTGGGTCCCTTTTTCTTCTTGTTTTCTCTTTCCAGATGACTTTGGAAATGAATTTCCAACATTCTTAATCTGAGCTGCTCCGTGACTGATTCGGATATAGTCTTGGACTCTTGCAACGTGTTGATCAGATTCAAATCATCCAACAGTGAACCCTTCGCTTCGGAAAGCAAGCGGAGAAGTTCGTTCTCGAGCTCCACCAACTTAGGGCTCAAAACATTTCATTTTTTGGGTTCACTTTCTCCGAACCTTAAGAAGGAAACTAAGAAAAAGAACCTGTGGAAATGAAACACTTTCAGCCTTAGCTAACCGATTCTTTCCCATTGCTACTTTCACCACCAGCTCTGTCCGGTCCTTTTCGAGTCGCGCCTCCTCCTTGCCTACGACAATACCAAGCATCTGATCCGTGAGACCCTCAACCACGACGATGAAGTTCACGATCGTAGTCTTGGTGCTCACTTCGGGCGTGTAGTGCGGGTTCGATAGCTTCGTTGTCAGGTAGAACTTGAAGTTGATGTTGTAGTCAAGCGTGTTCTCACCGATCTTGATCGACAAAGAACCGCCCTGATTGATAATTTGCTTGGCCAACACCGGCTCCAAAGATGGGTCCAATTCCTCTTTCACATTCTCCATCATGCAAGGCGTACCGAACTCGATCGCTCGCTCCAATGTGCGCATGAACCCCGTCGTGTTAGGATCGAACACTTTCAAGCCCTGTGGCTCTTCCATCTTCCGAATCCACTTGTTACCCTGGTTTTGCGGATCGATCATCAGCGCCCATCGGCTTCCGCGCGTCACTAAGATACCGTTTTCTGTACTGAAGCCATCGGTCGGCAAGCCCTGCACGTTCCACGTACGCACTGCCGCAGGGTCAGCAAGAAAATCGACAAAATTGAAGCCTGGCGTCACAGGAATCTCGTACTCGGATACAGGAGCCATCCACTTCTCTGACACCAAAGCATCACGGTACCTGTAATTTTAGTTTTTTTGCTTGATGGACTAGACGAAAGTGGCCAACAAATTCAAACCCAACAAAAATATATTTTTTTGCAGGCTGGAGCATCCACACACAACAATCATTTCATCCAAACTAGCCACGGCAATGAGGGAGGCTGCATTGACTTAGTACTTAGCTCCAAATGGCCCGGCGTAGGACAGGAAAGCAGCCGCGATTGCGACGTCGCCGTAAAGGTTGCCGATATCTATGTCTAGTTTCTTGACGCTCTCCTCCCATCGAATCTTCTCTCCGGCTAAGCCGTTCACCAGTTTGTCTGCTCGCTCAGCTTTGATTTTTAGGTCTTCTGCGGTTTGCGTGATTTCCTCCTTTTCCCTTGTGCTGTTCTCGTAGAGGTCTTTCAACTCCTGCACTGTTCGCTGCACCTCTGCCAGTTGCCGCTTAGCATTCTCCAAAAACTCTAGCTTTTTCTCCAAAGCTGTCTGCGCGAGTCGCAGCTTCAAACGCTTCGGTTCGACTTCTCGCGCCACTGCGGCGTAAATGTTCATCGCATGCACCCACTGACAGAGTGCACCCGCAGCCAGCGACACTTTAGCCACCTGTGCCGGTGTGAATGTTGGGTCTTTAATGTACTTGTCCATCTTCTTCAGGGTCGTGTTAGGGATGTGGTCCTTATCGAATTCTTTCAGCTTATCCAGGAAGCGTGTATCGTTCAACTCGACTTTGGCGCTTGCCCAGTTCGCTTGCTTGTCCATCACTGTCATCACCGCATTCATAGTCTTCATCACCATCTCCGGTGGCTTGGCGTATGCCTGGTATGGGATTGAATGCATCACATAGTTCATCATCCTCGTCTTATCTTTATGATTACTTATTCAGTCCTATCAGGAAATGAAGGTCATTTATCGAGTGAGGCGCCAGATAGATTTATGGATCGATCACGAATATCATCATCAAAGCGTCTCAAGTAAGTAGTTCTCTTAAAAACTGCCGGCTCTTAATTAGAAGTCGCTACAAAGAAAAATGCTCCTCACCTTGACTTCGGAAATGCTCTTTTTATCGAGTTTCGCGAGGGCATCAAGCGCGGCTTCCATCGCTGGCATCGCCTTAGCCAGATCGCGCTGGGCATCTTCTGCCAGAACTTTGGTGTCTGCTGCTTCTTTCTCAATACGCGCTGAGTCTTCCTCGACCTGTTTCTGCTGTTCGTCCGCAGCCATGCGCTTCTCTGTGATGACGATTAGAAGCTCTTGACACTCCTTTTGTTTGCGTGCCACGATGTCGCTCTTCACCTCCAGCTCAACTGCAAGTTCCTCGACCTGCACGCGCGCTTCGGACAACTTGTGCAGACCATTGCGCAACTTGTCGGCCGCGCCGCCGACAAAGGCTTGCTTCTCTCGCAGAGTCTTCACATACCCGGACACTAATTCCAGGTAGTTTGTTGGTGTCACGTAGTTATTTCGCTTCATCTCTGCCAGCACGCGGTCGCTCGCCTCAATCACCGCAGTATGCGACAGACCGAACACAATAGCCAGTGGCTCCGCAATCTTCGGGTCGACGGGGTCTTCGCCCTCAGATAAAAACTTCAGCGCGACCTCAGTCAAGGCTTCTGGCGGCCAGGTGAGGAACCAGTTGACCGTCGTGCAGGATACCAAACTTGCTTAGACCTTCCCGAAATTCATCTTGAAGGTCATCGATCTTTGGAGTGTCTTTCCCGTAGAGAAAAGCTCCCAGATGCTTTCTTTAAGCATCTAGACCTTAGAATTTCAAGAAATATTGTGAGATTACAGAGATGAGATAAGTCTTTTGAGGAAGCCTTAACTTGGGTACATGCGGCAGTAATTTCGGAATCCACTACCGATCGGACTCATACAGAACACAACATGGAGGTTTTCTCGCACGCAACCGATGAAGAACCCGTAGAGCTGCTCCGGTGTCACATTGCGCAACCTCAAGGGGTGTGTTGTGAAGAAGGGTCAGATCGCTTGAAGGTGTAATAATGCTGATATTCAGTACCTACAGCGGAAAAGAAAAACTCACCAGTCGCCGGATTCGCAAGCAGATCTACAACATCTTACTTCCACGCAGTCAAAAGAAGATGACAGGTAGAGAATACCCAAGTTCTGCCTTGGCAGCTTTTTCGCAAGCTTGCAGCACGGTGCCGAGTTCGTCGTTTGCGAAGAGATTGGGCACCTCGCCGCTACTCAAGATGTTGCTAACGTCTTCGAGGAAACTTTCCGTGATAATTTCTGTGTCAGAGTAGAGAAAGCACGTCGGAGCTCGCTTCACGCCGGTCTTGTCGTAGATTTTCTTCAGATCATCCCGGAAGCTCTGGTGTCTATAGGATTTATCGATCTCAATGTTGAAGCACTCGTAGTCTGCGATAATTAGAGCTACCGCGTCCGCATCCCTAAGCGCATCCTTGGCCTCTGTTTCAACTATAAAGAAAGAGCCATGGACGATGCAAGATCTTGATGCCTCTTTGTCCTCATGGGACAGCTTCAGGATGCCTCTAAAAAAAATAGGGAACAATTAGCGGTAGGAGCCTTAAGACGAAGCAGGCCAACCGTGTCTGGCAATGCCGCCCGCTACCACCTACACCAACGAGCAATGCGTTGCCGCGTGGAAGCTTTAATACACGTAAGATCTTGCACATGTGCTCAATTGCATCTTGAAACATGACTAATGACAATGGCTTCTTCTTCATCATCTCGTTGTAGTCGTCAAGTTTGATGTTCGCAAACTGCTTAAGCGCTACACGATCCGAAATTTGCGTGTAGTCTGGGTTCTCTGCGTCCGTATTTGCCATATCGATGTGCGCGAAAATGAGTTTCTGCTTCTTCTTTCCGTCTGGCGCCATCTCCACATCGCCAATTCGACTTGACAGTCTGTTTTCCATCACGGAGTCGCCAAACTGGTCGAATTGATCACGATCCGCCATCGAGATTAGACGATCTCCGAAGGCGCGACTAGCTTCGTGCCACCACATACGCACGATTGTTTCTTTATCCTGCACAAGCCCCGGCTCCGCCATGTAAAGACCCTGAAATATCTTGGACACGTCACGCAAGTTGAACAGATAGTGGCACTTGGCTGGTGTCGGAAGCATCTTGTCTACCATCACGCCGTAGAGGTCAATACTTGCGCCTACGAGATTCTCCGCCAAATTCTTCACGTCATCCTTGAAAGCGTGAAGCTTGTGCTGTGCCAGTGTCATGTAGATGCGCTTCACCTGAGCGTCTGCCGGGTTCGCAAAGTTCAGCAAGTGGCAGCAAGACTGGAACCGCTCAGAGATAGCGGCGCGACCACCACCTGGTGGGCCCATCGCTGCGCCGAGCTGCATGTCCAGGATGATGCGCATTGTCTGCTTGCTCAAATCGTACCAGTGTCCGTAGTCCATCCACTGTCGCAACAGCTCTAACGGCGGCTGCGACCCAAAGGTGTCTTTTCTTGGCATGTTCAGGTCGTCCACGAACAAGAGCATCTTCTTGTTGCCCGGCGGTCCAAACTTGTTCTTGATCCGCTTCTCTACTTTGCCTTCGATGATCTCCTGGACAGCTGCCGCAGAGGTCTGCGCCGACATGTTGATGTTCAGGGACGTCCACGTCTGCTCGTCCAAGTCGTTCGCGATCACTGCCTGCAAAGCCACGGTCTTCCCTGTTCCCGTCATACCCGTGGTGATGTAGTGGAAGTTGTTCACCGTGAGCTCGCGGATGATCACGCCGTTGCGGATCGTATCCACTGTTGGCACCAGGATTCTGTGGAAGGGCGCGCCCTCTGGTGGCCTGTAAAACGGCTGTGGGAGTCTTGCTTCCCACAAGTCCAATTCGCCGTGTTTCTCGAAGTTCAAATAGTATTCGTATACCGTTTGGTTCGACGGCATGATGCGCGACTCCACGCTGCGCATGTTAGAGTCAGCTTTTACCCATCTCGGCCCCCTCATCTCGACCCCTTTCCCCTTGTATTCCATGAGGATACAAGGCAAAAGGAGACCAAGATGTCGAGAAAAATGGACACTCAATGTTGACCATAAGCATGGCCTCGTCGAACTGCTTGCGGCTTTTTTCTGTCGCGCTCGCACCCAAAGACCAGACGCAACAGAAGGCGAACATGCGCTCGAAGATCTCCTTTTGCTTTGCCGTCATGGGAGGCTCCGTGCCGTCCTTCGCCACGCCACCTGGCGCGCCTCCCTTGTCTTAGCGGTAGGGTTTTGGTGTTTCTGTTTCCCGTTTGTTCTGCCTTTCTCTTCCTCCGGGAGACAGGCAAAACAAACGGTAACAGGAACGCCTTTACTCACACTTTGATGAATCTGTTCTGAAACTTTAGTGATAAAAGAGTAATGGGACCAACGTATATTTCTTAATTGTCTTCCGGAAGGCCGTTCAGCAAAGTGTCGAGCTTTCGGGCGAAGCACGTGTAGATATTCGCGAAGTTTTTCACAGCCATGTTCTCGCTGATGGGAACCGTCTGTGCATAGCTGGCATTCCGACGCACATTCAGCAAACTGGGGAACCACTTATCGCCAAGCTCCTGCATGTAGTTGCGTTTCTCTTCGTTATCCTTGTAGGTGACAGCGGACCACGATTGATAAGGGGCCATGTATCCCATGTCGAGCGTGTCGAAGTAGACCATTCCTGCACGAGAAACTGTGGCTGGGGAGGCGACTTTCAAGTCCTGAACCTCAAACAGCAATCTCACCGTGCCGGGCATGCTGATTCGGTCACCGTTGATCAAGGTTAGAACCTTGTTATCGTCGAGAACGGTGTTCATACTTTCGATCCACAGCGTGTCAACTGGGCCATCTAGTAGTAACCACTTTTCGTCCGCCTTCTCATCCTGGCACATGATACGCATAAGGGATGAAAGAACACCGTCCATCCATTCCATAGTGCTCAGATCGTAAGCACCGTACAACTGATCCATGGTCACACTCTTCGGGTTCAAAATGTAGCTGAGGACCTTCTCAAAGCCCTCAATCTTGTCAGCTTTTAAGTTGCACTTCGCTTCCTGCAGCGTCTTCCACGCGACAGTCTTACCACCAAGAGTGTTCCCGACAAGCATATTTCCGTGACGAGTCATCTTCGTCTCGTAGGTACTGATCGTCTTCTTGATAATATGCGACGTCTCCTGGTAACCGTTCGCGCGGAGGCTGGTGATTTTTTTTCCGACCACACGATCGCTTGTCATATTTTGTTCCACGTCCTTAGAAGACACAAATGTAAATCATAGATAGAAACCAGCTCATCTGTTCTTCTAGCACGCAGTCAACTACATCAAGGGTATAGTACTAGTACCAGGATCGTATGTAATCTTCAAGAGAACCGTAGTCCGGATCTGGGAGATCTTGCCCCGGGAAGATGTCAGACATGAGTGCCCAGTACAGGGGCAGATCTTGGCTAACCCATTTCGGCGCGTTCATGTCGTTGATAGCGCGCATCAGCAGTTGTGCTTCCGGCGAGTCCGGCTCTGATCGTTTAAGCGCTCCTGCGCAGTTGAGCACGGATTTGATGTTTCGCAAACCAAAATCGTAGTGGTCCTGTTTCGACATCTGCTGCTTCATCATGTCATAGAGCGAGACCATCTTCTTGGCCAATGGCTTGAAATCCTTGTAACCCTCCGCGACAAGCATAATTTCGATGATCATCGCGAAATCTGGAAGCATCATCGCGACGGGACGGAATAACGATTTCAGGTTGTCCGGCAGCTCGGACCGACCCGCATAACCCGGGTTCATCGTGATGAACACTGCGCACCCGCGATCCAACTTGATCATGCGCTCTTCGAAGAGGAACTGCGTCACTTCTTGACGCAGAGCCGCCTGCAATGTCAAGATCTGCACCGCGACCACCGAAAGCACCTCAACATCGATTCGGTTAAACTCATCGAAGCAACCCCACGAACCAGACTGCGCGAGACCCGAAAACATGCGTCCCAAAGACTTGTAATCCAAACCATCGGAGCAGTTGAACACGATCACGTATTTCGCCATACCTTTACCCAAATCCTTTGTGGACTCGGTTTTACCCGTTCCGGCGGGCCCCTGTGGTGCACCACCACGCTTCAAGTGCATGGCTGTGGTCAGCGTCATGTAACAACGATCCGTCATGGGCGTCACGACCAAACGGCCGTTGTTTCCCTGGTACTCGTACCCGTATGGCGAGTTGGTGTTGGTCTGGAGCACGTAGCAGTGGGCGTTGCCAGGTGCTTCGTCTGGTAAGTCTTTCAGCGCAAACCGCAATTGCTGCATCCACATGAAGGCTCGCGGGTTGTCCGTTTTCGTTTCAACCAGCTTTGCCTGCACGTCGCGAGCGTGCACCTGAAAAATGATTCATTGTGGAATGGCTGAATTTGTCTCATTATCCGAATTTCGTTTCGAAGATGAAGTTGCTTTCCAAAGATGCCCCAGCGTGTATCTCTGTGACACAATTTTCGTGAGGCAAGAAGAATGAAACACTACGAAAACTCTTGTCCAAAATCTTTCTTTTTCTACGTCTCTACTGAGTGTACAATGTTGATAGCAAGTGTACAAAAATGTTACCTCGATAGTAATGAGCGCCACCAGCTTGCCGCGTTCTACCCGGTTTAGCGGCTTCCGAATCATATCGGTCATCTTTCCGATGTACTTTGTTTGAGACTTCTTCAGGAGTTTCATCGCGTTCTTCTTTCCCTTCTCTATAAGAGCCAGCGCATTCTCGCAATCCGTTGTCCAGGCGATCTGCCCACTTGTAATCAGCAATTGACCTGAGAAAAAATGTCTGATGAAATCACCGTGGATGGAATCGACAACTATTTCTACCGAGCTATCCCGATTATACTCAATCCTGCGGTACAGGAAATCGTGATGCCTACCAGGAGGTCTTTGATCTCCAACGAATTAAGTGAGAAAAACTAACCACATCAAAGAGATAAATACAACAGTTGTTCTGTAGTACCCGGAAATTCTTTGACCCATTTCTCCTTTTTCATGGCATTCTTCGTGATGTTTGCAACGTGCGTGGTGTTCAATACCTTTCGCAGACTCTCGCGCATCCGCCTCTCTACAACCACAAGCCAGCCTTCTACTGGAGGATCTAAAGGCACTGGCTTGATTGGAGCTCGTCCCAATCCATCCCCGGATACATCATAGACCTCGTTTCTCCTTGAGAGGCCTACCCAGGATGTCTCGGCAGATGAATTAGGGGAAGCCTTAACTTGATAAATTTCACCTTCTCGCCATCTGGCGAGTTCATGCCAATCGCTTCCCACGCTTTTGTTCCGCCGCTGCTCTTCAGATCCTTCGCACTCGGCGCTACCAAGTCCAGAGACTTAATACCCTCGAAACACTTCTTCAAATGTTTCTGCACGGCCTCGGGGTCCTTGGCCTGCCCCAAAATTTCGAGCAAATCGTCGTTCGACAAGAAGTAGAAACGCGGGAAAAGCTGTCGCTTTTTCTCTAAGTAGTCGTCGAGTGATTTCTGGATCTTCTCTAGTTTTCCACTGTCCTTCTCGAGCATGTCGTAGAGTCCCGGAACCAAACAGCACCGCACGGCGACTGGGTCCTGGTACATGCGCCCGAGCATGGTCGTGAAGTTGTCACTCACTTCGTCAAACATGATACTCTCCTGCGGAAGATGCGGCCGAATATCCTCAGAGCCAACGAAAATGTTCTCCAAGTACATCCACGACTTCTGGACGATCTGAATCTGCTCCTGCACCTCTGATATCGTCGCCAGCGTGGCCTCCCAGTACTCTATCGCTTGTGCAAACGGAATGGCAAAGGGTGAGGATTTGAAACTGGAGAGGGCTAAGATGTGCTCTTCGAGCGCCATGTTCATCTCTTCGGTCGGCTTCAACTTGTAGTATACCTGCTTGTGCTCGCCGATCACCAGCTCCATACTCTTCCACGTGCTCTCAATATCCCTGACGCCAATCTCGATCTTAGCCTCCTTCCTGGCCTCGTCCGCGAGTCGAGACACTAGATCGCTGTACGCCAGCAGATTCAAGTCGAACACGGTTTGCAGCGTGAAGTCTGAACCATAGGGGTCGAACGTTTGCCCCACTTCTTTCATGATCTCCTCCCAGTGGCGCATTCGCATAGAATCGTGCCGCAGATTCTCGATCAAAGGCATCGTGCTGCGGAAAGTGTCTATTGACCCCTTCAGAAACTGCCACACCGACCAGAACTGCATGTCCTTCTTCAATCGCATCACCTTCTTCTGCGTAGCGCCAGCGGTTTCGTCCAGATACTCCACGTTGATATCCGTGAAAGGCGCAGTCTGGTTCTTTTGAAAAAAGTCTACGTCGTAGTCTTGCTTCAATGTCCAGATCGTCGTTAGAAGCTCCAAATCCCGCTCGCACGCTTCTAATTCCGGATACTCGCTCTTCTCGATGCCGAAAAGATCTAGTTTCGGGCCGTGGTCCTCCTCGATCGCACGCTTGTTCGCCACCTGTTCCTTGAAGTCCTCGATGATCGCGAACGCCGCGTCATTCGACAAGAGGCCGTCCTTGGTCTCTACCGAGTACGGACAGAGTTGCTGCAGAGTCTTCTTCAAGTCTTTCACGCTCTGCTTGAAAGCGGCACTTTCACCCTCGAAAGCAGCCTTCATCGTCTTCTTCGCTTTGCCCATGATGGTCTCGCTCTGCCCGAGCTGGTCGCAGAATTCCTCGAACGCCGCGCGCAGGTTGTTCTTGCGCGCCGTCTCCTCCTCGGAGACCGCCACGTCGAACTCGGTCAGCTTGGCATACATGGCCTCGATCGGCTCGATGCGGTCACGCGTGTCTTCGAGGATGTTCTGACTCTTCGTCAGCAGTTGAAAACCGTCGCGCAGCTCGTTCAGATTCTCTGGCGGATGCAAAACTATCACGCTAGTATCAGCAAAGTACTTGTACAACGCGTCCATGTCGCGCAACGCGTTTTCATTGAGCAAGCCAGTCAGCTTCTTTTGCCATTCCACACAGTGCTCTGTCAACGCCGCTTTTAGGAGAGAAAAATCCGTCTCCAAGAAGCCGATCACGGTCTTCGTGTCCTCCTGCTGAATATCCATTTGCACCTCTTTATACCGCTGAATGTCTTGGCCAGCAACAGACAGTGGGCGCTCAGTGCGCGCGTATCTTCGAATAAAAGCGTCTTTGTCCTGCGAGACGATCGGCTGATAGTTGCTGTTCCACCAGTTGAGGCGCTCGCCTAGCTTCACGGAGCAGGCGTTGAACCCCTTAAGCACCTCCTTGACATATCGGATGCAGCACTCGTCGTCCTTCGAAATGGCTTCGAAGAATGTAGCCTTCTTGGTTCCGGGTGGAGGCGGGACATAGTTAATCGTAATGGCGTTGGCGCCAGCCAAGTCACCGAGCTCTTCCAGTTCAGCCTTCTTTTTCGTGTCGCGCTTGGCCTTTTCCGCGTTTAAGTGATCCCACAATCGCGGGACCTCCTGCAACGTCATCGTAGTGTCACGGCAGACAGTCTGCAACAACTCCTTCAGCTGGTTCATGGTCGGATTGAAGTCCATCTTCCATGCATCCAAAATGGCATGCACGCGGAACAGAGCCAATGGCTCGCTCTTGCTGTCACCGTTCAGAGTCCTGCGAATTGGGGCAGTAGAAAGATGATTCCTCGTGCCTACAACATAAACGAAGATCTGCAAACAGATCAAAGATTTTCGTCAGACAAGGAAGTCGATACATAAGGAGCTTGTATTTACTAAATTCGAAAATCATACTTACCTGGACAGGTCCTGCAGACTCGTCTTCGTCGCTTTCTTCAGCGCGTCTTCTAGCAAGCGATCGATCTTATCGACGAAGATTCGCCACTGCTGTTGGATATCAGGCGGATGCGACTCGAAGAAGACGTAGGTTGCCAACATGATATCCACGATTTGGGAGTGCGCTTCTCGAAACTGTGCTTTGATTTTCTCCCTGTGTTGGTCTTGAATCATGCGGAACTCCGAATCAGTGTGGATGTGCTTCCTCTCGATCAAGATCAAGGTCGCAGAAGCGAACTTGTTGCGCGTGACTTGACGGATTCGCCCGATGTTGTCCTTGTATTGCGAGACAAAGTCTGAACACTTGTTGCACTCTTTAAGTGCGTCACGCACAAAGAACTCCTTGACGCCATGCGACGTCCACGTGTACTTCTGGATACCAGGACCGATCTTCCGGTCCATACTCTTGATGTGGTGCGCGAATAACCGTCGCTCCTCCGGAGCAAGGGCCAGGATAATGCTGTTGTACTCACGCACCACCCGCATGACGTGCTCGCGCGTAATCCTAAGTGGGTCGCGGAAAGTGGTGGAAATGTCGTGCGCGTGGAAGGGAACCACAATGCCGCTTCCCTGAATCTTTTCCCAGTAGTAGGTTTCGTTGAAGATTCGCAAAAGATTCTTGTCGAAGTTGCTCTCCAACAAGGAGCCAAAGCCGCCTTGTTGACCGGGGGGCAATGGCACACGACACAGCAACGGAGTCTTGAGTTTCTCAGCGAGCTCGTCTTCATCAGTGCCCAGCTCATGCGAGATCCAGTCGTGGAAGGTCGTACTGCAAAAGCTTTCGAGCATTGCCATCATATTGGCGTACTCGGTGCGCACGGTCTCCGTCCGGACGGATCCCTGTGGCATGTAGCAGAGGCTACCGAGCTCTTCGTACTGCCGCGAGATGCGCAGCATCAAACCTCGTGCCCACATGGCAACACCGCTGTAGGGCGGATGCACAAGCAAAATTCCCCCACTATTTTTGCGGAATCGCTCGAATTCGCGCTTCACATTGCCGATCTCCGAGATCAGGAAGCCACCCACCTCGCTTGCCTTCTTCTCGAGGAAAGACTTTATGCGCTCACGCTTGCACAGTAGGTAAAAACTATCGAAGACATGCACGCACTGACTCACAGTTGTTAGAGCTCACCCTAGTCCATCTCGAAGTCCATCCTGAGACCGTTCTCCCCTTGAAAAATGTCTCTGAGATGCTTCAGAAGATGAATTACGGTAAGCCTTAAGGTTGACACGGACTCAAACGCACTGCTAATGACATTTGTGTACATGACCTCAAGATCTTTCATCTGGTTCTTAAACCCCCCAAAGTCCTCACCCCAACGCATGCTCTTGACGTCAAGCACGTTGTAATCTACATCGTGCAGCTTTTTCTTAAAGGGTGTCACCCTTATCCATCTGAGAATCTTGTTATAAGGAGGGGATTCTACTAGGTAGCACGCTTATGAGGTTCAATGACCTTTTTCCCGTGGAAAGCCCTCCCAGGATGCCTCTGAAGATGGATTAGGAAAAGCCGTAATTTTCACCTGCTTCAAAAAACTAGTCTCGATCTCGAACAAGCTTCGAATAATCTCGCCTGCTTTGGCACCCCCGAACTTCGGCAAGGTCGGGTTCACAAGCGAACCAAGGTCTTGAATCTTGTCCAGGTTATCATGATCACCCAAGTTGTCCGAGTCGGTGATGTTCTCGCGCGTCGAGAAACCGGCAAACTGAAGCTGCTCCTCCGCGATCTCTAGTAGATCACAGCACCTTTGCACAAAAGCATCAGCTTGGGCGAAAATAGTGCCTTCCGAAAAATTCCAATGCCGATCTGCAGGCTCGTTTTTTCGAATGGCTGCGCAGGTCAAATGGTACTCCTCCTTCCACTTGCGGCCGCACTCCACACATTGTTCGAGCAGGACCTGTAGTACGGTAATGTTAAAGAAAGTGATTTTTTTTTGCGGTGTCTCGGCACACTGTGCTGCAGAAAGACGGAAGTTTTCATGTAGCTTTTACGCATCAGTATCTAGTAAAACGCCAGACAATTAGAAAATTGACACATCAACATCTGAGTACTTCAAGATGTTGAAATTACCATGGTTTCCCTCACGTCTTCTTCTCTGCTTTTTTCTTTCGTGGCTCCTGGATGTATTAGAGGTTACTATTTTTGAAAAAAATCCTTGACCTTTTTCCTATTGGAAAAAACGCGAAGGATGTTACTCGAGGATCCAATGTGTAGTACGCAGCAGTAGTCTAGTACCGCTTCCCATTCATGGGTTACAAAACACATCCAATTCTTAAATTCAGGATGCGCTCCACGTCCACTGAGTGCTGGCATCTCCGTATGATTTCATTACTTATGGTTCGAAGGAGATTTGATATCCTATCCGACGTGTTGTATGTGTCTGAAACCGTCCAGATAAAACGAACTATGTTCAGCAGCTCTGGCAGAATCTTCGGGATTTGCACAACTGTAAGCCCGCACAGTTCGGTTGCAGGTTCTTTCAGCAGATTGACTTAGAGCTCAACCAAATCCATCTTCGGATTCATCTTGGGCCCCGTTATCGGATGAAGGATATCCCCCGTATCGGATAAGTCCAAGATGCTTCAGGAGATGGATTGGGGGTAGCCTTAATTGAGAAAACCAAGGTTTTCCCTCGCCTCTCGGCTGCCCTCCTGGATATCTTTTTCTAGTGCTCGGAACTGGTTCAAATACGAACTCTTTGCAGCTTCCAAAACTTCGAGCACTCTCTGCAAGTCGTCAGACTGAAGTTGCTGAGCCAACCTGTTGCATTGAAATGTGAAGCAATTGGATGAAACGAAGTAGATGTACAACTAGAATGAACTCAGCAAAGAAATGAAAGTTTAAGACTGCTCAGCAAGAGACCGAAGAGGACCTACCACACTCTTCCAGAGGGTGGACTGGCGGATTTCACTCATGCCATGACAAAATCATAAAGAACTACAGCAAGTGAAAATTACCTTGAGAGATCCAAATCCCTTGCTCTCCAAAAATCGATTTCATCCAGTGGTCCTGCGCTCTCTTGCCCCTCGTTTCCACCGCTCTGCTCCTGCGAGCTTGTGACTTCTTTGATCTGCCGTGTCCAGTGGATCAAACTGGCCTCTAGTCGTGGCACGATATTTTTATCCTTGGCGACGGCGTCAACGTTGCTCAGGTCGTCTGGCGGAACGTACAGTACCGTAGCGCCTTTGGCCTGGTACGCCATTTCCGTCACGCTGGACATAAACTTCTGCATCTGCGTGATGAACTCCTTTTGCACATTCTCAGGCCATCCGTGGTTCAACCGCGACATCGGCACAAACATGCTGTTCATGTTATGCAGCAAACCCTGGACCAAGTCTCCTCGGATGTGGCTGCTGTGTACCGTCGTCTGCAGATCTTTGCTCGGATCATGCTCACGCTTTAAAAAGTAACTAAAATCACTCACACCACCTGAGACGATGTCCGTAGGTATGTTATCCAAAGGTACGCCCTCCGCTGTCTTCTTTGCCGAGATCACGTGCACCTGCATTGTCTTGTTGCCCTCCTCGTCCGCGTCCAGCCAGGCATAAAGCGCCTTCGCATCTTCGCTCTTCACGAACTCCGCATCAACTTTGCTGGACACCGCCCGCGTCCAGTGCTCATCGGCAACGAAGCCGGTGCACTGAATCCGAGACGAAAAAAAGTCCGGCATTGTGAGCGACTCCTGAAGCTGCTAAACCGATCCGCTGCAAGAAAAGTTTCTTTCTTCCTTTGAAAATCGATGTCAACACTATTTGATGTAGCTGTTCTGTTTCTTCACTGAAAAGAGTTCTTGTATCCGCTATGGTGAAGAAGGTTCGTCTAGTCCTGCTTTTCTTATGCTCTTGTTCTCTTCAGAGAGAAAGAACCTTTCCGATCATGCCCTCCTCATGCAACGCAGCGAAAACAAACCGCACAATTTTACCCAAGCCTGAATCCTCTACTACGAGTAGTCTCCTGGCGCCGTCCACCACTGCAGTGCTGAACACCGATGCTGCCGGACGGACGGGCGCGGCAACATCGTGTTTAAAATGGCTCTATCATAAGTTTCAACGCCTGCGCCTTCTTTTATCCAAAACTTTTTTCTATTTACTACTTCCCTGTGAGTGAGTGAGTGAGTGAGTGAGTGAGTGAGTGAGTGAGTGAATGAGTGAGTGAGTGACTGAGTGACTGAGTGAATGCACCCACTCCAGGGGTAGAAAAGACCACTACACGACTACTACTTCCGTCTACAGCGCAAGTAAGGGGAAAAGAACCCGAATCAAATACAACTTTCTTATGTAACAAAATCGACGAAAACGATTACAAAATTGTGAGCGTTTTGTGTAGAGCCTGGGCGACTCGATTCTTTAGACATACTTACTTTTTAGTGTAGAGCCTGCGCGACTCGATTCTTTAGACAAAGTTACTTTTTGCCATTTCATGATGATGATATACGCAGTATATACGGGTTTAAACGACACGAAGTGATAGGGTAAGCGATTTTTCACGATTTTTCCATAATCGAGTCACATTTTAGCTCCTCACGGCAGGCAAGATTTCTCTCACGATCTCTCTGGCGCCGCATACCCCTTTCGGCGACTCCGAAACTAACAATGCTTGTTAAAAGTTCGTTCCACCGATCATAATTAACGCTTTCTCTCACAAACGATTTCGAAAAAAAGCAAGAGAGAAAAGCGAGCCCATCTCTGCGAACCAACTACTGGGCAAAGTGGCCAGCTCCTGTAGGGCGGCTTCTCCGGAGTAGTACCTGGAAGGAAATACCCGATGCTTTCCAAACATCAGTCACAGACAAACAAATGAGGGCCCGAAGTTAAGAAACTCTATTCTCAGTGAGTGTGCGACAGCGGTGCGTTCCTTAATGCTGAGCATGATTGTTATCGTAATAAACATTTCTTGATGGGCATTATGGAGCCAAAGCGGGGATGGTATCTTCATTTTCGTATGTTCGCGCGCAATACGCAAACAGAGCTCGTTCAAACATCCGGATGCTAGGGTTTCATGATAAACCAGGTATCGTTGTCAGAAAAAACCTGTGCCACAAGGCTCCGTTCCCGGCAGAATTCTTCTACTGCGGCTTTCACCTCCGTTTTCGAATGAAACTGCGGCCCTGCCGCTATCCCGTTCTGCGCTACAAGTTCCCACCAATCTCTGAGATCCCTTAATATTGCTGTCTTCGTCTGCGTATTGTCCACATACCTAAAGGGAGTTCTTTCACCACATTAACAGGAGCCTCAAACGTCACATCACAGCGGAGATGAACAAATCTATCTGGCAATTTGGAATTGGATGAGCAGCCTACCAGAATGAGCTGATATTTTTCACAACTTGCGGTTTCGAATTCTTTGAAACTGATTAGTACAATAGGCTTGTTGGAGGCGATCCCGGTGTGCCTTTATAGGTGACCAGGAAACTGTGAGAGAAATCTCTCACAAAAGAATAGCGATTTTCGTGTGGCTTCAGGTCCGCCTGTAACTGCTCAAACAGTATCTGATTTTCGCCGTCTGATAGATTTGCCGGATCTTCGTAACCAGCCCAAATATGGATAAAAGGATCAACCAAGTACAAACCTGGGCGAAAAGGAAGACGTCTTTATTCGAGATAGGATTTGTAACATCAACTCTTGCTTCTAGTGCTCAAGTCGGGTCTTGCGAAGACGTGGTGAATTCTAGGAGACAGCAAGGGTAAAAATTTCACAGTCCCCATGATAAGGCCCGACTAAAACTACAAGAGAAAGCAAGCACCTGGTGACGTGCTCCACTCTCGCAGTAACTCGCCTGGAAGTCTATTTCGGCCGACGCCAAGGAAAATTCCCAAGCCGTGGGGAAGATATTGCTGCAAATACTGTTTCAATGTTAATCCGTGTCTTTGCGGCCCTGCTCCAGATGAGCCTGCAAGTAGGCTATTTGCAGCAGGCTGCACTCCCATACCCGTCTCTACCGGCAGTGACGCTGGTGAGCTAGCTGCTGAACTTGGTTGTGATACTACTCCGCTACTAACTGATGAAGCCGCAGAAGAAGGTGGTGACGCAACGGGTTCCCTCGTGAGTTCGCTTAGCTCCCTCAATAATGCGTCGTCCTGTCTACTCGCCGCCGGCCTCGAGGGGGCTACAGAAGGTGCTGTCGCTGTTCTCGGCGGCATCGATGAATCTCGAAGAGAAGATGGGGGTGCCGTGGGTCCTGCTGCATTCGTAGCATCGCATCTACAGTCGTCGGCAACATTGCGAATAGTATAGATCTGCCACACCTGTGCGCTGAGCAGGCCCACAAGAACCACTAGTAGTGCATCCGCCTGACCAAAGGCACCCATTTTTTGGACTTCTCTCACGGAGACTGAAATCGTCTGCTTGCGACAAGGCGTAGATCGCCGGCTGTTCAAGCCATTGCTACTCATCCAAAAATACAACATGAACATATGTCCATCTCACGGAGACCTCTCTTTATTTGAAAGCCGCTCTGCCCTCTTGGACCGATAACGCGACATGATGACAAAAAGCGAATAGAAACACCTCCTTTGCCTGTGGTACCAGAGAACAATCATTTTCTTAGAGGCCTACACCTTCTGTGGTACCAGAGAACAATCGTTTTTTTAGAGGCGTCTTAACATCGCCACCTCTACGAACACCATGCACTGCGCTCCCACACCACGCAGTTAAAGAACTGAGTAGTGACACTGACAGTAAGATATTGCTTTTGAAATAAAGGGGCATGATCACGATAAGTTGCGTCATTTCTTCAAATAATTCCAAAAAACTGGTCATCCATTAGTTCTCCACACCTATTACTGAAGCTTCCAAGTGCCTAACAGCTCCTGCCAACAGCGCAGTGTCGACACAACTGCCATCAAACCGCAAGAGCTTACTGAGGTCTGACACAACCTCCGCCCACTCCTCCTCATCTAACGAAGCAGCGTCGTCATCCTCGAAGTCATCCTCGTCATCGAAGTCATCATCAAAGCCATTTTCCGCGCACTCGAGCAGGCAACAAAGCTCATCTAACTTCCCTACACACTTGTCCCCACGAGCAACGAAGCTCTCGAATGCATCTTGGGACTCGTCCGTAGATACTGAAGATGTCGGTTTCATCTCATGCCGCACAAGATGGATCCAGAAGTGCTCCATGCTCTGCAGACAACGGGCGAGCAAGGCGCGCTTGCGTGCGATAGCGTTACCTTTGTCTCCATTCTTGTTATTTAAATCTCCATCCTCTTGGTCGTCGTCGTCATCGTCTGCGATATTCAACTTTCGGACCGCCTCAGCCAAGTCGTCTACGTTCCGAGATGCACCTTGCTGTGGCTGCTTCTGTTCTGTCGCTGGCTCTTCGCTTCCACCACTAGCCTTATTAACGACGCTAGCGATGATGCGGTCCGCTTCATCCTGGTCCTTAGCATCATCCTCGTCGTCTGTCTTTTTTAGCTGAAGCACCTCTCGTGCGCAATCACGCATCTGCTTGACTTGCTTTGCTAGTCTGCGCTTGCGTGCCGCTTGATTCGTTCGAGGGACTGATTCCCATCGACTCAAGGTAACCATCAATTTACCAGCTGCGCGAGCCGCCTGAAAGTTGCAACATGAAGTCAAATAAGAAATTTCAGGTACTTAAGTAGTTGATGAAGATAAAGGTATTTGAGAACGAGGATTTTCGGGACTAGTACAAAAACAAATTTTTAGAGACAGAACTGGATCACCTTCAATTAATGGTACAGTGGCATACTTGTTACAAAAAGTTCAAAGACCGAATCCCAAAAAGTTCTACTTCATCTCGGCACGCATGCTCGCCGAATACGTCGCAAATCCTCTCTACTTCCAACCAGCACTTCGTCGCTTCGTCTCCGAAGTCCAGGATTGCTCTTCGCAATGATGCGCCAGCCTTCCGTCCCAGGCCTTGCGCCATTAAAGAGCCGAGAAACGCGGAATATGCTCGACGGATCTCGCATAAGGGCTTCTCGAGCGCTGCCTCCTCTGTTTCGGCTGTCGAGGCAACATACATGGCAGACAGACGAACAGTGGCACGTTCGCACAACTCTGCAACCCGTTTAATGTCTGCACAGGTAATACCAGGTTGGTCGCCATCAAACAGCTTTGGGCGCGCTGCGGCCCACAGGGCTCTAATTTCCGAGCAGTCGACATTCGAAGAGGTGGCCCACTCGTCGCCGGCGCTCGTTTTCACTAAGCTAATCTCCTTCATTTTTGCGTACGCACTAGAGAATGTAGTCGACTAACAAATTAAGTGGCGATAATAAAAGCGATTGCTTGGTAATCTGAACAAAGCTGAATACCAAGAAAAAGAATCAAATACAGAAACCTAATACAACAACCCTATGTATTGATTAATGAAAACGAGACGAAATCTGTCGCTGTAGATAAAAAACAAATGATCAAGGATAATCGATCTTGCTTAGCCTTCACAGGGGGTGAGGGAAAATGTGTTGCTTTAGCTGTACAATTCAAAGACCAACAGGAAGAACTCTACAAAACATCCAAATTTTTTGGTGGAGTATATGATCTTCTTTGCACTGATCCATCTCAGGAGCCGTATGAGCATTCTGACACATCTGAATAACACCCAAGTAGGACGAACGGGAACGGAAGTTACATACTAAATCTTTCCGTGACTCAGACAAAGAGATCACTGTTTTTGAGATCGTTTCTCCTGAACGAAGATCAGAGTAGAGAACCATGTACTCGCAAAGAAGCAGGTGTTGAAGGAGACAACGACATTCAGAACACGAAAAAAATTAATGGTATAAGCTGCTTCAGAAGCATACTCCTCCTCACTTTCTTATGCGCGAATTCATTTCAACATGATGCGTTCGATATAGTAAGTCTTCATTTTTGTACATTTGAAAACCACAAAATAGATTGTTCAAAACTAACGTCAGCTAATGTCAGCTTCAATTCTACTTGTAATCGGGAATATCATTTTCTGAATTTCATGGAACTATGTGAAACACTAAATCCGAAAACGAAACAAGACAAAGAACATCTGCCGTGGCGCGGCTAAGAAAACTAACAAAGTATGTGGCTTCACGAAACGGCCATCCGTTCCTTCCTTTCTAAAATTAGCTCTCTATCGATGAAATCGATATGATTATGACAGGATCGTATCTGACTGATCTTGGTACAGTCAACAAGCACGCAGAACTTCTTGAAAGGACTTAGTATTTGGAGTAGTGACCATATGTCTGCTGCGGCGGTCTTGGAAAATGATACTTCGTTCTTTGCGTAGCGATTGGACCTTGTTGCAGCGATGCAACAACAGGTGGAACAAAGCCGTTAGTAGTGGTTTGGAAGTTACTATACAAACTACCAGCAGGCCGGCTTGTCGATGGATTCGCCACAAACTGCGGCTGTCCATGATGTTGAGCTACTCTGATTGCAGCCGCAGTCACAGGAGGAGGGTGCATCGGTGTACCATCACCTGCAATGGAATCAGGAAGGCACTGGCTGACAGCATCAACTGTGAAATTGACGTTTTCACTTGGAATCGGCTTTAGTGGAGGACGTACAGGAGACTTCCACGCAGCAGTATTCCCTGTAGTGCTATTTTGCGGCCTGACGTGATGCTTTGTACGCTCAGTGTCCACCGTCTCAGCCATTTCGTCCGCTCCCGTATTCTGCTCTGTTGCCAACGCCCGTATATCTACACTGCAGTCCTTCAATGGAATGATGAAAGTATAGAGAGGATATATTTCTGTTTGCGTAAAAGAGGGAACACGTCATGTTTTTGGATTCCTGGAATCAATGAACGTCCTTGCCAGAAAATTGATAAAACTTTGTTATCGACATGAAAATTCAACAAGTGTACGCACTCAAATGACAAGACGCGGCGTGATGTTCTCAAAACTGAAATTGGATACCTAGAAAATCACTCAGTCGATCCATAACGTTAAAAAGCCTGGTGAGAAAACTTTCGTCTTGTGCTAAGTCTTCAGCGAGCTCCTTCATTCTTTCTTGCTCTTCGTTCTGTTTCCGCTTTTTTCTCGCTTCATGAAATCTGCACAACCTGTCCTTTTCGAGTTTATAGCGGACTTTCACTGAATTACTCTTAACGACATCGACAACGGTCTCCGACGCAGCACTAAGATTTGGCGTTGTGAGTTTGTCTAGAAATGGCAGGCTGCTCTTTGGACGATTAGCGTCGTAAGCAGTTAGGGGTTGCGCAATTACATTCTTCAGATCATCCTTGACTTCTTTCCTATTGGAAAATAAGTCAAGAATGGTAGTGAAGGATGCAATTCGGTAACCCTTAAAGCAGCCGGCGAATCGAATGCTTGAACAGCTATTCTACCCCAGTCTCCCACAAACCGTTTTAGCAAATACAGTCTTCGGTTGTCGACAGAGTAGCACCGCTGATTATGGTCGTACACAACTGTGATCATTGGGTAACGCTCCAGCAATTCCCTGCGCCTCGCTGCCGTAGTAGCGTCAAGTATGAAACACAAAGCGCGCATAAAGACAAAAACTAACTGCCTGAAACACATAGTAAGTACTCACTGGCCCCCGATTTCCGCAGTTATTGACATTTCGAGCTAGTACAGGAACCCAGTTTATGGACTCCCTACGCACAAAAAGGAGACTATATTGGATGCACTGCAAATGACAGCACATAAAGCAGAATAGTCGAAGATATTAATTGTCTTTCATCCTTTAATTCAGCCATACCGAGCAAAGCAATAACGGCATTCCGCAGATAACCTCCATCTTTGAACTTTTCATCGATACTATCCTGCGTGAAATATATATCCGCAAGCCGCATGATTACGACTTTACCGCCCCCCGATCCGTTACGGTACTTCTCCTTCTGTTCACTATAGTCATCTGGCAACAGCGGCGCCAGCTCCTCGCCCACCGCTGGCGGGTTTGCACCTGCGGATGCCGTTGGGTTTTGCTCGATTCGTCTTTGTGTCGCAACAGCTTCTTGTGCGTCAGCGATCGGTACCGTGCCTTCTTGTAAATCTGCCATGATCTTCGGCGACGAAGTTGCCTCGCGAGTAGGACTAGTGCCCTCATCGGTGATTGACGCCGAACCTGGAGTGATTTCGCCTGCTGCTTCCCACTGTGCGGCTGCAGTCGTCCTACGGTTTTCAAGCGGAAGAAATACACCGACATCGCCAGGCTGCTGTATTGACTCTACTGCAGAAGGCGCTGTAGCCAGCGTCTCATTTAGTTGTTCTTGAGTTTGCCGCAGCAAATCGTGCAACTCTTCTACTTCCCCTTCCAATGCTTCGATGCGAGTCTGGTTTTTCGCATTCTCCTTTTGCTCTTGTACGTAAAGCGCTTCGTACTTGCGCCGGTCATAATAGGCTTGATCATACTGTAGATTAATGAGCTCGTTGTGTAAGTGTTCCAGTCTTTCGTGCAGAAAAGCGTTTTCAATCTGAAGTTCTTGATTTCTTATGAAGATGTCGCTCTCCTCCTTAATCTTCTCGTCCAAATCCAGCTCTTTTTGGCACACCCTGTTGTACACTTCCGTGTAGTCGAGTCGAATGAAGCAAGGGAAATTTAATTCTAAGCTGATGTTGTAACAGACATATGATGTTGATCGAACAAGCAAAAAGATCCATTATATCTTCAAGTAGTCGTCAAGCGAAAGTTAAGTCTTGTTACGAACAATCCAAGCCCCGTTTCCAGTCATACACATATCTAAGTCCCACGCAGAATCTCGCTCTGCTTGCGCTCTTCGAATCTCGGCATCCTTATCCGCATTTTCTTTTTCCAAAACACCGATGTGAAGAGCGAGCTCTCTGCGGCGTCTTTCATTTTCATCGCCCAGATTTAATTTGTCAACGTGCATCCCTTCGATCTCCGCTCGCCGATTTTCGCATTCCCATTCAAACTCCCAGCGCCGTCGCTTGAGAATCTCACGCTGTTTTTTGACTACTTTGAGCGAAGCACGCAATCGCTTGCGCAGAAAAAGTGTGAAGGCACCAAACTTATGTGCACGGGCCTTCTCGCGCTCAACTTTTTCTTCCTTCTGTTCTGCATAGTTCGTGAGTGCAGCGATAGCGGTCCTCAAATACGCAATGTCCTTCTCCTGCGTAACTACGGTCTCAGCTAACGAATCGCGGATTTGTGTGTCAGACAGGCAGGTGGTACCCTCGTCCTCATTTTCGTCTGCTGCCTCTGCAGATGTTGTGCACCTGCTGACAGCATGGATGTCATCATCCGCTATGATGACCATCTCAGTGTCGTGATCCGCGGCACTTTCAATTTTGCCAACCGCGCTATGGCCCCCACTGGTGAAGGGGACCCCCTTTTCGGGCCCCTCCATATTCGCACAGGTCACGACTTCTTGCTCCATTTCTACTTGTTCATCTACGAATTTATTCATTAAGCCAACTCACATTCAGCACGATAGCAGCTTTCGAAGCTGTCGACTCAATTCTGGACATTCTTAGCGTCCTAGAAAACAAATCACAAACCACACGAACTCCTCTGATGCCGAGGCGGTACACAAAAAACAGGTACTTAGTCCACAACAACCTTTTCACGCTGCAGCTAGTAACGCTGGTGTCGATGAGCAACACTCCGTTTTGACCAACATTGATGACCACATGGCACGACGTGCCGCCTGACGCATTGTTTCCTGAGGAAAATGATCGTTTCCATGAGGCGCTTGTTGCGCAACCGCTGCACTCAGCAAGATAAGCAGCGCGAGCACGGAAAGTCACATGATCTTACTCCGCGGAATTCTAGGGCGAGGCACTTATCGCCCCTTTGCGTTTGCGAAACCACCGATACAAGAGCGACAGGCGCAATGTCCTTATAGCGATTTTCTCGAACACCGGTTATATAACGCATTCGACGTCCCGAGAGCAAAGCGGCAGGCTGCCTTGCCAGTGTATTAATACTGATAGAAACTTTCCGCCATGGTCAATGGTGGCACACCCACCAACTTAATCTGGTGCTGTATGATGAGAAAAGAGAACAAAAATCACATCGAATAAAACCAAGGGAGGCGAGCGAATTTGATTTATCAGGGCCTTCTGAGACAGCTGGCCCATGGCGTGGCAGGCATGACACCTGCTTATGATGATCTGCCGTATAAAACCCTCAGAAAGCGAAGAAGAACAACAAGAACATCAACAAGAAACAAGTAAATTATTAGTAGGCAGGGAGGAGTAGCAGTTGATCTCAACTAGACATTCATTGTTCACGAGGCAGCTCTATCACGCTTGCGCCCCTGCAACGTTTGCGACCCTCCGGCGATCGGCCCGCTCTCCATCGACCCACGTGCCTTCAAACACGCGACCATCGCCGCCCGTGTAGACGCCGAATCCGTGGCGGCGATTGTTCAACCATTGCCCTTCGTACTCACCGCCACCAGGATACCTCTCCTTGCCAAAGCCCTGCGATATGCCATTCTCCCACTGGCCGCGATACAAAATGCCGTTGGTAAACTTGTTGCAGCCGTAGCCGTGGATACCTCCGTCTTTCCACTGCCCAATATATTCGCGCCCGTCAGTCCACAAGTACCGCCCCTCTCCGCTTCGCTTGTTGTTTTTCCATTGGCCTTCGTAGACGCCGCCTTCCGGGTAGGTTTCGCTTGCATACCCCTGTTTCTGATCGCCGTGCCACTGCCCGTTATAGATCTCGCCTGTGGCATAGATATTGCGACCACGGCCGTGCCGCTTGTCCTCGCGCCACTCTCCGTCGTAGATCTCGCCACTCACAAAAGTGTACTTTCCAAAGCCGTGCTTTTTGCCGTCGCGCCATTGGCCTGATGTAGTCGTATAGCGGCAGCACCATGAAACGAAAATGATGAGCTCGCTCAGATGTTGTGAATTGACATGTTTCTTCCTTATTGGTAAAGAAAGACACCCTAACCCTAGTTTTCGATACTATAAAAAATAGCAGCTTGCGTCATTTGTTCTCAGTACCTAAATAGACGGATCCGTTCGGCCAAGTGTGATGTCCAATGCCATTGCGCATGCTGTTAAGCCACTGTCCATCGTAGACTGAGCCGTTCGGGTAGGTTTCTACACCTGCGCCATGCTTCTTACCAAACCGCCATTCGCCAATGTATTTTCGGCCGTCCTCCCACTCGTATTTTCCATAGCCGTGGCGCATGTCAGAGTGCCACTGTCCTTCAAAAAATTCCCTCTCGCCATAGACTTCTTTGGCACGCCCATGCTTCTTCCCTTCGAGCCAGTCGCCGTCGTAGCACTCGCCACCAACGAAGTGGTGGACACCCTTGCCATGCCTACGATCGTCTTTCCAGTTTCCTGCAATCAATTTCACATTCATGCAAGCAAGGAATTCTCTTGAACAGAACTAATCAGAAACATACACTAGAATAGAACTAGAAGTCTATAAGTAAGCCCACATGCATTAGAATGGAGTTATGTGGTCAATGATGCAGTGGTTTTCGAAAAAAAGCAGTACCTTCATACTTTGCACCATTCGGCAATGACTCTGCTCCCAGGCCATGCTTGCGTCCGTCCTTCCATTGACCGTCATACTTTCGCCCATCTGGCCATACATATACGCCACGTCCGTGTCTCAAGTCTTCTCTCCATGCGCCTTCGTAATATCCTCTGTCCTGATACACTTTCCGGCCTTCTCCGTGCTGAGCGAGTTGGAGAGAAGTAGATTGATTGTGATATACTAGATTAAGTCAGTTTAGAAGTACTTCTTACAACCATTCCAATGAATTGTCACCGAGTTGTAGGATGGAGGATGGAAGATTTCAAAAAAAATCCCCAGAGAAAACTCATCATAATTCAACGTACTATCGTTCAAAAGAACAAAATGATATTACTGCAGTTCTTCAAAAAGTAGACGTTTAGGGCAAAAGATCCGAATGCTGCAGTGCAAAGACAGGTACCGTTTTCCCAAATCTCCACTGCCCCGAGTAGTATTGGCCCTCTGCCCACCTGTACTCACCCTCTCCTTGTCGCCGATCGTCTTCGTATTGACCGTGGTACCAGGAGCCGTCGGGATACTTTTCTTTCCCTACTCCATGCGTCTTTCCTAACCGCCACTGACCGCTGTACTCATTTCCGTAAGCCCAAACTTGTTGGCCTTCTCCGTGACGCAGATCGTTCTCGAAGCGGCCAGCGTATCGCGTGATTCCGTCTTTTTCCAAGAGAACACCATTTCCGTGCATTTTACCATCAAGCCATTCACCGACGTACACCGCACCGTCATCGAGTAAAACTTTCTTACCAAAATGAAAGTTTTGGCCAACAACAACAGCTCCGCGGCTCCCGCCGCTATTGCGCGGACCACGAGCGGGGGCTGAAGCGCCGTCTTCGTTGGATGTTGGCGAAAGCGACAAGCTAGCACGACTTGAAGCCAGTGGGGAAGAGCTCGCGGCAATCGCATCCTGCGACCCGGAAGGGGCAGCTACGTCGCCAGAGGGCGCCAAGAGCGGCTTTTCTGTTGTGTAGTCCTCGCCAGGAGAGAGGTTATTCTGAGCATGCAGATCCCGTTTCTCACCGCGATAATAGAGACACTCGCGGGACTTGGTCAGATCTTTCAGACTGCGCAACACCCCGCGTCCGTGCCGCTTACCATCGACCCAGATTCCCTCGTAAATATATGTGTTCTGCGCCAGACGCAACCGCCCAACGCCGTGCTTCTTGCCTGCGGCGTTAAACTGCCCTTCGTAAACAGCGCTACGCGTCGAGGAGCTGCTCCCACCGCCCTCCTCGGCCTGCTTTTTTCTTGCTTCGTCTCTGCTGCCACGCCTTGCGCGCCTGGACTTTGGTGACGCAGCATCTGCGGGTCTTGCGTTTACGTCGCTTGCGTCTTCTGCTATCACGCCACCTGTGGCGTTACGAGCGGCAGTTCCAGAAGACCGTGGTCTTCCGGCTTCTTTGGTAAAATCGAACAACAATGGGTTGTCGGCTAACTCTGCCTCTAGCGCATCGGGGTCTTTGTCTGATTCACTGTCGCTGTCACTTTGATTGTCCAACAAGTCCGCGAATGCAGCTCGTGCTTCTCTCGCTTCCTGTTTTAAGTCAGCACCCCCTTTGGCATCTATGCTAAAACGGACCGTATGACCGGATGCTCGTGATGGGGAAGAGATTTGTTCGCCAGGCGATTGAGCAGTCGCAGATTTCTGTTGTTGCGGTGAGGTCTTCCCTGCGTCATCGGGTCGAGCGGATCCTGATCCTCGCGCACTAGAATCCTGCGCGTCCGTAGGTCCTTGACCGGCGGCTGCCAAGTTGTCGAATGTGTGTGCAGGCGATTTTGTAAACATCGCCTTATCCATCGCCTCTTCCACGCCATCCCCGCGTAGCACGAAGCTCTCTAAATTTGCAAATGCTCGGTCTAGCGACACCTGATGTTAGAGCTATCGCGTTCGGTTTGCATCCCTGAATGCGTTCTTGGAGGTTCCTCTTTCCGGTAGAAAAAGGGCCAAGAACCACCATGTGGGAGGATGCTTGAGCGGTAGCCTTAATGATGGTCCAAGGCCTCTCCCGTTGTAGTAGGCGCCGCCGCTTCGTTCCACATCACACTTGCAGGGTCCGGGTCGTCCTTGCTCTTCCTAAAGAGGATCTCGGGCCACACCTGCACCCCACCGCGTTCGGCCGCACGCGTATCGGCCATCGTGGCCGCATTTGCGAGTGATGGAAGGCCCGCATGCGGAGACTTGCATGAAGGCGATGCCTTTACACTGTCTGGACTGCCGCTCGAGACGCTCTTATTTCGCGCCATTTGCTGCTCCGGTGACGCACTGGGCGTCGGATGCTTCGATAGAAAACTCTGCGTATTTCCGTCCGGCGCAGTGGAGCGGGCTGCTGCTCTTTCCGAAGACCCCGAAGAAGACGCAGCGGCGGATAAAACCAAATCCGATAAAACAACTTCAGTAACTTGCGCTGTAGAACTGCGTGGAGGAGACGCGGCTGAACCGCCTCTGCGGCCGTTGTTTGTGCTGAGTGGTATAGATTGGCTCGAAGCCGATGGCGATCGCCCAACCACCACTCTGTTCTGCGCGCCAGCAATACCTCCCGGGCCCAACAATGGCTGCGGCGCCTGGAGCCCTACTTGCTGCGACGGAGCGACGCTGTAGCATAGTGGCACAGGATATGCAGAAAAAGTAGCGCAGCGCTGGGTGCACGGCGGTCCAACTACCTGCTGGGGAATCGGTTGTCCAGCGGCATTGTATATCGGGTAGGAGCCCGAAATTGGCGCAATTCCAGCTCCTGCAACGGGCACTTGAGGCGACGAGAAAACATTTGTACCCGCAAGCTGCTGCAACTGCGCGATTCGATGCCACGAAAACGGTGACTGCCCAACAGGAACACCTTCGCCGGGAGCAGGCTGCCCGCTGTTGGGTGGCCCGTCAGTCCCTTGACCATTAGTTCCGCTGTCCGCTTGCATTATCTCCCCAACAACGTCTCTACTACTACCGTGTCATCCTCGACTATTGAAACAAAACTCCCAAAAGTATCAGAGGAACTTCAACTTGAGGGAAAACGAACACGAAGAGTGACAATAAATATTTGTGCTAAATGTAGGGTGTAGGTAGGCTCATAGGGTAGGGCTCCAAAAACTACAATTCACAACATAAATATCGCGATTTCACTTCTCTTTCTATCTACGCATCAAAACTGAGCAACTCAAAACTGGAAAGGGCTATGGGACACGGCCCATGGGTGAAAGTGGGTGCCTGATGTCCACAAGAAAAATTAGAATTACGTTCAACTTTGATGCCAGCACAACACTTTTTCGCGGTCATATACAGTGAAATAAGGAACTACACATGGAGTGTATCAAGTGTAACCTCTCATTCGAAGATGAAGGAGGATTCATTAATGTGGTGTAAGAAAGTCTCAGGTCGTCTGCTCGTGCACTGTTGGATTAAGCGTTAGGAACACGCGCTCCATGAGCACTCCATCTCAGAAACAAATCCAGACTGACAGGACTTTATGTCTTCGCTTTTTTACACACTTGTTGCGCAGGATTCAATTAGTAAACTCGTCAAGAACTTTGCACATTATCTAAGGACTCACTAGAGTGCTCAGTAGAAATCACACCGTTGAATTAGGAAGTCATTCGTGCAGTTTTTTGCGTAACAAACAGTTTTTCGATGGAAAAAACCTGAAAGGCTCGATTTCCATCATAGGTGGATTTGCACCTCTGCTTCAAGAGAATCCGAACCCGAGGCGTTGTCACTTCACAGCGCGCGGGTCTGCCTGGAGATCACGAAAAAGGTCAGTACGAAATCATCACACGAAAACTGTATTGGTAGGAGGTCACCCGAAGACTGCGCGGAGGTACTTTGTCTGCCGCAACGGCGCGATTCATGCAGATTTTTCTCTAATATCCCACTTGCCCTATTAGCTAGTGTCCGAGATAATTACCCCGTAACGACGCCACATATCACGACGAACCTCTTGTAAGCGGCTTCCAGTCGGGTCGAGGCACAGGCTTTTCTTTCTCCTTCTGCACCAGACCGAGCTGAATTTGCTGCAAACTTTCGAAACCGTGATGCGTCCGGACCAAAGGACGATACCTCTCGCTCTGGGCAAGCTTTGTTACACAGATTCCGGCGTTTTTTTGCGCTGAGCCGTTCTCTTTCCGCAAATACTCGATAAATGGCTCAACGACGCCGCCGAGGCCGTAACTCGGAAAGCTAGCACCTTTCAAAAAGTTGGTCACGGGGGTTATTTCTTGTGCTGGTAAACAACTTCTACTTAGATAAAAGTTAGGACAAACAGCTACAAATGCAACAGCTGCTAAAATCGGAAAATCAAGATTATACGAAGCCGCCATTCAATCGTAAGCGTGTACAAAAACGCCGCAATATACTAACTAATTACCTCCTTTGTTTTCGAGATTTACGATCCACTCGAAGAGCACTGCTAAGTTCCCACGGCAGTTCGATTGCATCTTGATTACTGGGTTTGTTCTTGTTTCCGTCTCTCGTACGTAGTCGCTCGGTCGGAAGATGCACACTATTTTTACCAAATTTGGCAAAAGAATCTTCCTTGGGTCCAGCTCTGGCTTTGCCCCAGGCAGCGGCAGAAATAGGCGCTGGAAGGATGGAACTTTTGTGATTAGCGTTGTTCCCAGTTTCACGTAGGTTTCAAGCTGCTTCATCTGCGCCTCGTCGTCCAGATCAATATCCTTGGATTTCGACTGCGTGCTTCCTTGAAACGCGAAGGCCTGGCTTAGAACCTCGAAGCACAGGTCGCGCAGCTCGTCGCTGAGGCTATCCGGTGCACCAAGGAACACTTTTTGCCTGAAGGAAGAATGTACGAGCAAAAACTATGCTATGGCGGACATCATGCGAATCAAGAAGTGCTCAAAGAAATCGAGACGCAAGTTTGTCGTACGCTTGCCATAGTTAATACAAGTACTTGTCTTCTCAAAAAAATCAGTGTAAATCAGTCATGTCCTGTACGCGACATTTGCTGCGCGCATCTTCGCTTCCTCGGTACCGGTATTGAGGTAAAATTTCAAGAACCCGCTCTTCCTTCCGACTATTGGCCTAGCTTCGGTAGAGACGTTTACTAGATTCACCATCACGCCAAGATACTGCTCTTTCATATTCGTCAGTATGCTAGGCGGGAAAAGCTCTAGCATGGGAGTGTTTCCAGCGTAGTCTTTCAAGACGTCGATTATCTTCCCGAGGCACCGCTGTTAGGATACGAGACTAGATATAGATGATTGTGACCGTGATAGATTTTTCTAGTATCAGAAAGTTTTGACGCAATTCTCCTGCATACATCGAGCCCTAGATCGGCTAAAACAAAACCAGGGAACTGCTTGTACCTCCACTGCGAGTTTAGTGAAGACTGCGTCTGCCTTTCCCATTTCGTTCGCAACGACGTTGCAGAGGAGGTTCAATGCGTTCGACTTCCAGTTCATGAGCTCAATTTTCTTTGCGATCGCGTCGATTATTAGCTCTTTTTCCGCTACTAGAACCGTCCGGAACATTTTACTATGCAGTTGCATGTTGCACAGAACCGCTAGCACAAGATCTCGGGCACTCGGGCGCAGCATCGCATCGAGACTGCCGTTGTCTTTCATAGCTTGCTCCGGCTTTTGCAAGATATCCTCGACATTAGGCGGCAACACGTTTTCCTTCGAGTCCACCCTCAAGACCTCGAAAAATGGTCCCAGCTTCTCAGGATAACGAAGAGCGTATTCCTGTAAATCTTAGGTTTCCTAATTTCTAAATCAATAGACGAGGAGTACAGTTGCCAACGACCAAGAACTGCAACAGACGCAACTAAAATGCCGATGAAGAGCACGCAAGAGTGGCCTCCATAAAATATCGTGATTCAGAATACAGAAAGGTCTGAAGCTTGTTGTTGTAAACTCGTCTACTTTTCTATTGTTTCTCTTCTATTTCTATTTCTCTCTTCCATTCTCTTTTTCCTAGTAGACGATACCGCAATGGCCACACAGCTTTGTGATCTTTGACTCATGTGATCCATGACTTGAAGGATATCGTAGGGTGCGACGGCGATGACCGGCCACAGATAACGCGCTGCTGGCGCACACAACTCGCAGTGGAAATCTGATTCGCAGCAGAGCGGCAGGAGGAGCTTTATGATGCGCTTTATTCCATCCGCAGCCGCCGCCGCAGCCTTATCGTCGGCATCTGCAGCTGCCGCTTTCTTTTTCTTCGCAGACTTCGACTTCGAACTAGCTGCGGCTAGTGCGCTGTTAATTTCCGCTTCGCTCTTGACTGCAGCGCCGTCCGCCACCTTAACCGGCGCGTAAGGCTCCGATGTCGACGACGAGGAAGAAAACTCTGATCCGGTAGCTTTGCGCCACCGTGTGCCCATCGTGTCCAACTCTGATATCAGGCCGTCTAAACGTGACTTGTCGCCACGGCGCTTGCAGAAGAGGACTCGCTCATCTTTCTTCTTCTCCAGATTCACGAGCAGCGTAAGATATTCCCGCCAATCCATATCCGAGATGGGGGTTGCACTACTCAATCTGCTGGAGGCAGACTGCGATCCTCCTGAAGCAGCACTATTCGGCTCCGCTTCGACACTAGCCTCTGCAGAAGCTTCTTCTTCGCCCTCCGCTGGCAATAGCGTTTCTCTCTTTTCTACTACAGCAACTGCAGAAGTCTTCTCCTCTTCGATTTCATTTGATGAGCCTTTAGCACCGCCGCCGCTCGATCCGCCATCCTCCTGTTCTTCGTCTGAGGAGTCCTCATCTATTATATGGATTCGCTTTCCCTGCTTACTCGCTGATCCTCCGCTCGCACCGCCCTCCTCGTCAGCACCGATTTCATCCATCTTTGCTGCATCCTCCTCCATTTCTGCAGGAACAAACCCTTGCTTCTTCAAAAATTCTGCACGCTTCTGATTCTCTTCTCGTAAGCGCTGCTCCACTTCGTCGGAATATCTTGCTTCAGCCGCCGCCTCCTTGGTTTTCCTAAGCAACTCGCGTGCATCCTTGTTATGTGGCTCCAGCCTAATTGCCTCCTTGAGATCCTCCACCGCCTCCTTCCACTTATGCAGACCGCGGTAAGCCATCGCGCGCCGTGAAAAAGCCTTGAATGCCATGTCCTTTGACTTCTCGAACCCATCCTCGAAAATCTCGCACAGCTCCAAGACCTTGGAGGCCGAGCTTGCAGCATCCTCATAGCGATAAACCTTCACTTCGGCAAGCGCACGGTTCGTCCACAGCGGCTTCATATCTGAAAGATTGAAAAGGTTTGGAACACTTTTTTGGTCAAAAACAAATGCATACCTACGAGGATAAGATGATCAACTGTGGAATATGATTCAAGGATTTCAAGCCTAAATCACGAATAGTTATACTACTCACACCCTGTACCTTTTTGGTACTCCAGCCCGTCCTTATACATTTCGATGGCTTTTGTGTACTCTCCAGCCTGGAGCAACTTGTTTCCTTCGTCTTTGCACTTCATGGCTTGGTGATACCGCTCGATGCGCTCCTTTTTTCGCTTCTTCATGTCAGCATCGAGTGCCTTAAACTGCGGATCATCTGAGTAATATTTTTCGGTGATCGCTTGCGAACTGATTATACTAAAAAGGACTTGTTAATGCAAGACAAGAAAGTGACACGGACGCACAACAAGAGTGAGATGCGAAATTGTCGCAGTAAAACAATTTTTTTGATGACATCATTGCAAAAACTTAGCACAAAAAACCTTTGGGAAGGACCGGCTCCGCATTTTCCTCGTCTTCGTTATCGGAGTCAGGCTCCCAGAATTCCCACGCTTTGTAGTTAATCACCTTTGATTTCCCTAGTAGTGCCTGTGACTTTTTCCAGCGCAGCCACTTGTCTTTCCTAACTTGGTGCTTTGCTTTTTCCTCTACAATTTAGAGAGAGTTCTATGCAAGACATTGTTGCAATTCATTCGACGAGGGTTATCTTAGCAAGCTGAAAGGGAGATGAAAGTCGCTCCAAGTATACGAGGATGTCTACTTTTACATCTAAGTACTCGCTAAAATGTAAATTTATATGCCCTCAGCAGATGCATTAATGAAGGATTTATTTCCTACGACTCCGGTATCTAGAAGTAGAGCAAGCACACGACATGAAACACGACCCGCCATAATTGTAGTTCTCTAGTTTGAACATGAGTTCCTTCTTGCGCTCCGCCTGCGTCATCAGTGGCTCTTTGCCGCAACGCGTGCACTTGTCTAAGGAGTCCGTCAAATATTCGGTAAAGCAGAACTTGCAAAAGAGCAGGTAGTCGTCGCCTTGGCCCTTGCCGTCGCGACCTTGCAGGAGCACCTTCTGTTGCTTCTCAGCGGCTTCCTCCTTGCGCAATTGCCGTATTCGGCCTCCTTAGAACTTGCACAAGTCCATTCTGAGGAGCATCGTGATGGATCCCCGTTTTCCTTATTGAGAAACGGAGCCAAGATATTCTCGAAGACGGATTTGTGGATGCCGTAATCTTCAATTGCCTTCTTTTCGGCGTCAGCCTTGTCCTTGACGCTCTGCTCCTTGTCGAAGGCGTCGAAGTCAGTGATCTTCCCGCTGATGATGTCTTGCACCTTTTGCGTAACATCGTCGACATTTTTCAGGAAGTCCCCGTACTTTGAGTCAACCTCCGCAGGCGTCAAACCTTCAAGCGCCTCTTGCATCTGCCTCCGGGCGGCGTCCGCACTCTCACGCACAGAGCCGGCAGTCACGGAGCTGGAGTCACCCGGCCCCGCGGCTCCGACCGTCTGCAGCAACTCCTCGATAGGCGCCATTCTATTGGAACTAAAGACAAGACACTAGTATGCTTCTGGTACGCCTTTTTGAACAAAGAAGAACTGCGCAGTGTAGCTCCGCCCTTTTCTTGTAGTTCCGCTACTCGTAGTAATTCTTCCAAGTACGGGCTATGATTACCTTCTCCAAGTAAGAGTCAGATACAAATAGTGGACGGCGTAGGTAACCAAGATTCGATTTAGGTTTTTCTCGCAATCATGATAGATAACTTTCTACTTTTTGTTATTCTAGCAACGGTAAACTTTCAAAAATGTTCCCTTTGGATAACACCGCTTTTCTGTTACAAACGAGTATCTCTCTTCGTGAATGACAAACATTTTTCCGCCGCGCAACTTCAAGTGCAAAGTTGTGTCACCGACTTATGCCGAAGCCATTGAATACCTCAGTGATCGCGTCGTGACGCACGAGATAGACAGTGAAAAAGGTACTGCGGTTACCTCGCCTACAACGACTCACAAACTGCAAAGCTTCGGCGATAAGGGGACTTGTTACATTTGTGCACAAGTAATGCTGTCCATAACGACGATAAATTTTCGTAACAAGGAAGGTAATACAGCAAGATGATTTCCCACTGTCTGTGCGTATGACGGCAAATTTGTTCTCTTGGTTATCAGTCGTTATGAGGATCAACCTTGTGTACCCCGTGTGCTTGAAGCAGAAATACTCAACTTCATCTCGGGCGTCTCAAATTGTGAGGTTGCAACTTTATTAGGAGGAGAATCTGGAAGATAATCAAGAACAACATGTATTTAGTTGATGAAGTCAGTGTGATATTCTCAAGAACATTAATTTAAGTAGATGAAAACGATGCCATTGCATCATCGCTATATCTTTCATCTGATGCACATTTTGTTCTTCACTAGTTCTATGTAAATGCTGTGGATTATCATCTCAGGTGTGTATCATTCTAATTTTCTATACAGTTTACCGAGGTGTGGGACTTTGTCACATCTCCGTCAATGCATGGTCGCACCAGACCCATCCACAAGAGTTCTTTCCGGTTCTTGTCCACTACTAGAACCACAAGTATCTTCATTACTGCGTCTTCTTGCTTCCTTCAAACCCCTTGTAGACCTCCTTGATGCTTCCAGGGCGGACGCGGTAGAACATTTGACCGCTGATGGTCTCGCACTCTTGCAAGACGAAGGAGACTAGGCCGCCGCTGTGTTAAAGGTCAGCAGCCAGTGGTCACTGACTCTGAAAGAAAAGGGCCCCATGCCTCTCCCTTTGCTTTCCCTTCATTTTCCCCTGTTCCCTCAAGAGGGATCTCAGTGAATAACCTCAATGACCAATGAAAGTTGATCCTTAATTGTGGATCTTCTTTGTCCGCGCGAGCGTTGCAAGATCGCGTTGATTGTCGGAAAGTTGTTTGGGTCTGTAGTTAGAACTAGCAAGCCAAATCCATCAAGTGGGCATCGACTTGATGCCCGTTTATCCCTAGTGTTAATGGTTGAAACATTACATTCTTCAGCCCTTCTCACTTTCCTTCATACCATTATTTTGTGAGGACCACGATGTTGCTGGCGAAGATGGTCAGGTAGGTGACCTTAGACAAAAAAGAGCTAACTCCTCTAGTAGAACAACAGATGACATTTCTTGTAGCCTTAACGTAGGCAGTCAACTCGGGCAAGTAGATGTTGAAGAAGTGTTTGAAGTAGAGACTATGTGCTCCAACCACGAGAGGCTTCGGGCGCAACTCCGGTTGATCAAAGATCTTCCTCGCAAATTCTTGAATGCGGTTCACGCCTCTGCGCCCAAGCGTTTTGTTGCCCTCGAAACCCGAAACGTCGAGCACGCGATCATACATCGTCACACATTGGGGGTACATCTTCTGCTCTTTTCGACTAACAGGTGGTGTCTCGCGCGCCGGTGTGATACCTGAACAAGGATAAAACGAAAATTCTCGCCTGGAGTAATCCATGCTTTCAAGCATAGTGGGTTCTAGACTTTCGTATGATTGGGACTAGACAACATCAGAGAAACCAATCTTGACGCCTGATTGTATAAGTACGTTTGATTGTGTCATCTCATGACAGGAAGAGCGATAGATTCTCTTCTACCAATAAGAGGACATAATTAGACGTGTGTACTTGCTGTATCAACGTTGCGGCTTATTTCCTGCAAGCAATGCCACACTTTGACCCTTTTCCTTTGCAGTCTCTTTTCAAACGCCAACAACAAAGTACTGACTGCACGACGGAGAGGGCTAGCGACAAATACAGCATCCTCCGGCACCAATTTCTCAACAATATCGGCAGCTTCTGCTGCCTGCGTTAGACCTGCGTGTGAGGACAAAAGAGCAGAGGGAAATCTTGGTGGTATTGAATCGAGTCTCATTTTAGACATTCTAATGTGCGTGTATTTACAATATGGACGGCAAAAGCGTTTCACGGCCTTTGTATGTGCATCATATTTCAAATGAATAGAATGGAACCAGGAGTAGGCTTAGAAATATCATCGTCATTAAGACTTAGGCACCTTCTGTATTTAGCGGGGAATCGAGGAACAGCGAGTCCCGGCCAAAGAGGAAAAACTCCTTGATGCAGGTATACACGAGCCGAAACGGAGCGAGAATGACCGGCTTCTTATTGAAAACGAAGTTCCATTCCGACTCACCATGGCGAAGAAAAAAGATTGTCCGCTCTCTCCGCACCTTAATGCTCGGCACGCTCTCTGGTGGTGGCGGCGGCAGCTTCTTCAGCCCCCGCGCATCGCAAGAGATAACCATGTAGATCGCCGCGTACAGCCACAGCAGTACGTACGGTACGATCGGAATAATGACACACAGTAAAAAAACCGGCACCACGAACGCGACAAATTCCAGTGGTGCTGGGGGCGGCGCCGCCCCGAGAGCTTTTTCCAAGTAGGCGCTCGACATCTTGTGTCCTCTACATCTATTATGTATCGAATATTCTTCACATTATTAAAAGTGTTGTAATGCGTCATAGCAACATCAGGCTCAAATTTGCATCAAAAACTTTTATTTTCCGATTTGAAGTTTTGCTCTAACCCATTTGCCGTCAAAGCATGTCCGATTTGATGCTTGGCAGCAGTCCGGTTTGCCTTTTTTCTCTCTAGGAGCAAACCAAGTTATTCGAGTTTCGCTTTATGTACTTCTTTTCAAAAGCTTTTGCAGCACAGGGTGAACATCGCTTCAAGTTTCAAATGAGCCCGTTCAGGACCGAATCGTAGTCGCGAATGTTGCGCTTAGCACACCCAAACTTATTGAATAGAGGAACAAGATCAGGAGTGTAGGGGGAAGAGTTCCTCAGTCGAGGATCATTTATATATTATAATTAATTTCAGTGAACATTTACTACCGTAGTATCATAAACATAAACACAAGTTATCAGAGCCTCGTCTTCAGGCATCAACGAATTCATGTTTATCCATTTCATCAGTTATTCGTTGCTGATACCACAACTTCAAAAAATAGCGTGACACCCACGCGGACCGGAAGTGTTTGGCTTCAGCGTTGGATACACCTGAAGGAACAGGTTTTGGCCGCATCTTCTTGCGCATCCTTCGCCGGTAGTCATCGGATATTTCCACCAAGTGAGTGCTTTCGTTTCCTTTTTCTGTAGTTCCGTCGCCGGAACAGTTCTTGTCATTCAGTAGCTCACCAAGGCTCTTACCTGCCAGCACACGCATCTCTGTTGCACTCATTGAATTCAGTAGAGCTGCGTCCGCCGTTGGCAAGGCGGAATCTTTATCGGCTGGCGAAGTCTGTGACGGAGAGGTCGCTGCACCACCGGGGCCACAAGCTGAGTTATTTCTATGGGCTCCTATGATAGTCCAGAGTTTTGATATTCTGACTTCGTCGTCGTCCAGAAATGAGCCGACAAGATCAGCAACCTCTTCCAGTGACTTCGGCATCTCTTCCTGCAGCATGCCCATGACATAATCGATACTGTCGTCCTCAACGCCCGAAGCGACGAGAAAGTTTCGGATTTCAGTTTCTTCCATCTCTTGGTATTAATTTAAACAAGAACTGGCACACACAAGGAAGACCATCATCTGACTATAATCCAATCGTCAACATCTGCGACTTAAGACTATATCGGAGAGTAAGTCCAAATCTTTATCTACCTCTGCTCCTGCTGAGAAACATACCTGATTCATATCACGCTCATTTTAGCATCCGAACGTAGCTGTAAATCACGAACGTAGGAGTTAGTCGTTTATCAATTGGAGCGTTGATCTGAGTTTGGCTTCAGCGTCATACACGCAGCCATCTGCTGACAATCAGCCCCCTTACCCGCGCCTCTTCCGCGATCTTTTGGATCTCCGTTGACTGCCGCTGAGATGTAAAATGACCTTCATCCGTAAAAATAGGCTCCTTGTAAGTACATGCTCCTGGATCTCAAGTTCAGTTTCTTACCTGCTGTGATCGTTGTGAGTTACGTATCAATTCCGTGGTCCAGGAACAAAAATTCAAAACATATCTTAAAAGTATATGGGAGCGTCGAGTTCGTTGTACACTAGATCCACCTAACGTAAGGTAGTTCATAGGTGTAATACACCTTACCAAAGAAGTGTACGTCCGAACTGCTTGGCAGCGCACACAGTACAATCAGGGGAGTCACAAATCAGATCAGCTCCGACGACAGAAGACATCAAACGGGTTTCTGTAGTGCGTGCGCTATGATCAAGGTTGTCAACGTTTCTAGAAATGCGCGCGGAGTCTCTTCCTAGAATAGCATGGATGCAAAGTAGGATTGTCGTAATCTAACCATCAATAGGAAAGCCGCTAGTGACCGATACTAGCTACAAAAATTCAGTTCCAAACCTCAAGACCCAAAACACACAGCAAAAAAAACGAAGCTGCTTCTCAATAATGAAGTGAACCAAATCAACAACACAGCATCTGCGTTGTCAGCGTGGGCCCAGCGATGTGAGATTTTTTCAACTTCTTCGCCTTCACCATTCGTCTCTCGAAGGCTGAACGTTGGCACTTTAATCCTCCTCGTCAAATCCCTCCCAACCCCAAACCTACAAGTGCGTGAATTCGCGGCGTGTGATGTGCTCCTCCATATGGCGGTAGATCAATTGTCCGTCATCGCCTTTGAATCCGCATCCATAAGATACAGAAATGGTGTGTGGAGTCATTCGGACATACGATGCGAGCGCAGCCTTCGATCCTTTCCGCCATGAAATTGCAGTCTGGGAAAGGGCATTTCCGGATGTTGACGTTAGAGGTTCTGGCGTCCGTCGGACCATCGGAATTTAGGGCTTGCTCTCGCGCCTCCGCCTCCATGAGCTGATAGAACTTCTCCTCGAAACAAGAAGGACACGCAAGTAACTCCTGTTCTTCCTCCGGGATTTGCATTGCCCCCGCACAAGCCCCAACTTCGTAGTTTTTCTCGAAGAAAATGGAGCAGTTGCGGCATGGCAGTGGTTCGAATTCTGCGGAAGGACCCATCTCCGCTAAATCTCCTCCACCTAGCACATTTTCGTTCAGGCCGTCTTGTATTCCACAAATTACCACCTGCCGACGTGCTCCTAAATGCTCCTGTAAGCGAAAATGCTCCGCCTCCTCGAGTGGGTAGTTGCGGCACAAACACATTTTCTTTCCGTCTTGCAGCATTTGTGCCACTGTGCAAACTTTCGTTCCAGCGTCGGCAGGATTAATCTGGTTTCCGTGTCACCTATCAGGTTGTTGTACAGCAACAGCCTGCGCCTCAACAACAGCATCTTCCGCGCGAAGATCATGTTCTGCTGCAAAGCCGCCCACAAGGTACTGCACTTGCTCTGTCATTTTTCGCGCAACTTTCATACTCAAAGCCAGACTCAAGAGGAGGTTTCCAGCGCGCTTCGGCGTGTCCACACTTACAGGCATCCTGCAGTGGGGACAACCGCACGTAAAAGCCTCCAACGTGCGACCACGTCGAGTGTAGCTGATGTGCTGCAGGCGCGGCTGGTCTCCCCACACGCAGTCGGTGCGATCGAAGTGTCGAGTTTCGCCACCGAAGGTGTCACACATGCGCTTGATGCAAGTATCCCACGAGGGATTCGGACAAATGTTTTGCAGCTGTCGACGAGAAACCGTGTCGGCACAAATAAGACACTCGGTCGAAAAATTATCGCCCACTAACTTAAATATCTCCTCCGTCTGCTCGCGCGTGACTTCCCGCGGCTTGGTGCTAGGAATCTGCTTCCCTTTAAACACCAACTTCATCCCGGCATGCGCGTTCTCATCATCCCCCGTATTGGAAGAGCATAACGACCACAACGAGGATGCTGGTGAACAGGTCGTATGGTCCTCGTATATTAAACCTTTGTGCATGTCCGCAACTGCCTTGAAGGGCGAGTTGCCTTGACAAATGCATTTGAGAAGTGTCGGGTGAACCTTGAGCAACGCCGAGAAGACCTCGGCATTCTGCTCTACGACCGCTGTCCACTCAATCTTTTTGTGTGGCATCGCTTGATATTCTTCGGAATCATCAACTTCCACCTCACCTCCCAAGCCTAATGATGGCTCCGAGTTTTCACCCAAAAGCCTTTGAGGGGTCACTACTTCAGTGCCACCACTCGCGGATGTTGCCCCGGCAGCGTCACTGTGCCACCTATTTCTAACATTCCGCCTCCGGGGATATTGGTTGATGCGCTGCGCGGCAAGATACGACTCCCAGGTCGGTGGCTCCGAAACCCCCGCATAGCAGGGATCGCAACGGTCACCTGTTTGCAACCTCCGTCGCACGCCGCGGATTCCTCCTGTCCACGGAGCGAGACTGATATCATTAGGGCGGTCAAGAAAATATTATTTCAACATCTTTTGCAGCATGTTTTATAGTCTCAGAATCCCAGATGTCATGTGTACGCTTCTCGTTGCAGTCCTTACTCGATCGCCTAAGAAGCCCTATCACATAGAAGTTCTAGGCTAGCTAGCTCTTAAGTAAGCGTTCAGCTAATGGCACATCTAGAGTAGGTAAAGTACTCTACGTCTACGTACTGTGGGGATGAAAATGAATTTGAATTATCGTGCGCCAGACATGGACCCTCTCCGCTCAGCCAGCAGAAAGAAGAGGTAGGCTTGTAATCTAACATTTCGCCGTCAACCCTGCCAGAAAAATAGGAGAGAGAGAGAGAGAGAGAGAGAGAGAACGAGAGTGCGTATTAGAATACTGTTAATGATACGAAAGGATATTATTGTAACAATGATGAAAAGATATTCCAGTCTTAATGATTACGAGGAATTCTAATATACTGCAAAAGAAACAATTGAAGTTCATTGTGTGGACCGAGCCGTAATATCAGTCCCACACGAATGACGCAACCCTCTCCGCTCAGCTTCCGAAACGTACGTCTTCAACGTTAGAGGTAGGGGTTTGGTGTTCGCTTGCCCCGTTTGTCATCTTCTTCTTCCTTGGGAGAGTCAAAACATCAAACGGCAACACGACCACCTAAAGCCTAGCCTTAACAACGGTTCGGCTCCGGCAGTTGCGTAGCAGACCATGCGTTCGGCTTCGCGCGCATCGAGAATCCTTCGCCACTCCCCTCGCGTGCCCACTACGTCTAGTCAAGCGTGTCGAGGGTAAATTGCTTGAGACTTTGATACGCTGCGACTAAATTCTGCAACTTGCATAGCGTTGTCAGGTTCCTTCACAGAACAACTTGTAGTTTCAATGTTATTTCTTTCCGAGGTACTAAAAGTAAAGTATGCCGTGTTCTTCGCATTGTGCCGTCCCTGCAGACGACTCTCAGCCTTACGAACTGCTGTGAGCACGAATCTCAAAGTTGTGGGATTAAAGAACGCTGCCGGAATATCTAAGCCATGTTCGCGATGTGTCCACCGCAAGAACGCTGGGCAACGCAGGATCTCCTCTTCGAGTTTTAGCAAAGGAGATGAGGCGACATTAGATTCTCTCACTCTACCGAACATTCGGTTTTCGCTTGCCCCAGCATTATTTTCGGATTCATTCAAAAATTGCACGAGAGCGCAGCCAAGTAAAGGCTCGGACCCCGGTCGCCAAGCGGAGGCCACATACGGCTTGTTCGAGTTGGGGAACCTCGTCCGAAAAGAGATCAGAAGTGTGGGATCCCTCTCAACCGCGTCCAGAAAAAGCAGGATTCGCCGATTGCCACCGACAGCGCTCCTGGGAGGGGAGCACGGGCGCTCCCTCTCCTTCAGAAACAAAAAGTAGCTTCTCGTGGAGATACGTGTCGGGCACCGTTATCAAGAGCTCGCTCGTACTTGCTGCTCGTTCCTCCAGGTCCCCATGGCCACTGTCATACGCAGGTAAAAGAACGGCGCCAACACGGAGACTGCACAGAGCATCGCGCAAACGTGAGATACAAAAAGTAGCAGCCTCGTCGGTTGATATGCTTCCAATATTCAAAATTTCCTTCAGATCAGCAAAAGCCAGCTGCGCAGACAAAGCGCTGTCGTCGAGGTGGAAAACAAAGCGAAAAAGTCGCAGTGCGCTTGTCAATTTCTCCGTAATCGCCTGCTCCGACGCATCGGCGTCCTCATATGGAGAAGAATCCTGTCGTGAGACTGGCTCATCTTGAAAAGCCTCGTCAGCTTCGAGGTCTCCACCGTAATGACGATGCACGCTTTCCCGCGCCATTTCGCAGAAGTCAATGGTTCCATCCTGACCGGCAGCGAACCTCTCCAAAAAAGCAGTAACCTGAGCCTTCGTGAAAGTCCGGTTCGACTTGAGAGATTCCCGCACTTCGGCGCTCAGTTTGCCATGGGCGTCGAAAGTGATACCCTTCAAAAAAGGTGGTAATGGATCAAGGTGGTCGTCTATCCTCATTCTCAAGTCAACATGTGCTTCATTGTGCTGTGATGTACTTGCGTCAACAGTCGTGGAAGAGGAACCCAGCAAAAAGGGTCTCAGCACCGCCATAGCGACCGGGTCCGATGCCGCTGTCCCATGGACGAGCTTGTCGTTCACACGCGAGTAAAGCCTGCTGATACGAAAATACTCCTCCGAAAAAAGACCGAGATACGGAAGCACCTCAGGATTTTCAGATACAAAAGTTTGGAACGCGTGGTAAAACTGCCCGTCGTTTTGCAGTACCTCGGATGTCACGTCATCATCTGTGGCATGGTTGTAGCTACTACTAGTATGATTCCCAGTTGTAATGTAATTAGTACCAGCAGCAAATACATTTGCCAGAGGGGTCTTCGAGGACCTTGAGAATCTGTAGAGTTGTGGAAAGGTAGCCTTCATAGGCTCGCAATGGATGGCGTGCCTGAAGAGATTGGATTCGTCCCCTGGATGTGGCGGTACCTGTGGAATACGGATATTCAGCATCCATCGTGTGTACATGGTGCACGGCAGGTTCTCCGGAAGCGTATCACCCAAGAGCAAATTAAGCTGCGCGCACAAGCTATTGAAAACAAAAATCTCGCGTCAGCGGTCCTAGCGACATGAGGCCACCGCCGTGCCTGAAAATATCTTCAATAAAGGTATCGACTCGTGCGGACGGCGATGCTATCAAAGATACTGTCGACCGCATGCCGCTGTGCGCTGCGGCAGGCAATTAAGCCAAGCCCCCTGTAATGACATCGTAGAGGTTGCGCAAGTGCGTGCTGTCTGCCGTAGGCACTAGCTGCCTGCGATCATACGCACAGGTGAGTCGCGGGCCAAAGTCTTTCGCCCACTCCGATTCCCACTGGGCTTCTTTAGTCGGGCCAGCGCTCCACGACATATCATTCCCATGGTTCCATATTATTCCCCTTTTCGTATAATACTGATGCGCAGGCGCATCCGTGATAACAATCAAAGGGCACTCGGTCCCGTGCGTGTGCATGTACTCAGCTAACGCCCGCCGAAGCCTCAGGATCGTCTTCTCCTTCTCCGTTGGCAGCTAGCCGATAATCTTGAACGACCGCGAACATTTCGTCTAAAGTGGCGCAGGCAGTGCGGTGTGCGGGCACGTCGGCATGCCTCAAACTTTCCAATTGGCGATCTTCGCCAGAAGACTTCGCACCTCCTGATGCAGACGTCGCGGAAGAAGCGACAGCTACTTACTTGTTGTCCTTCATAATTTCCGGCAGGAGTCTTCATCTCCCCTTCAGGCGAAAGGACAGGAGGCGGCCTGTCGAACTCGTCGTTGAAGGCCTTCCGCCGCATGAAATTGCGCTCTAGAAAGAGCAGTCGTGTCACATTTTGATCCTTTACACTCTGGAAGTCGCCGTAGAAGAGCACCGAGACCCGCACATTTATAAGCTCGAACATGCACCGGAATTCGCCTAGCGCCTTCTTCACTGACTCCAAAGAATTTCCTATTGATGAAGCCGTATCGACGCAAATACAAATTGTTCGCGACAGATCGAATTCCATCGCAGGAACCTCTTTGTCCGCCTCCCCCTCCTCTTCCTCCTTCGCAGGTAGTCGGCTCCATGCGTCCATTTTTTAGAAACTACTTCGAATCTTCTATGTGCCTTACAATAGGAGACAGTGGCCGAGGAACAAATGATAGAAAGAAAAGTTTCTAGCAGAGTATTGCATGGACAAACGCAATCAGAAAGAGTCCGCCATTAACAAACACCTACGTATCTCGTATTACTGGTGATTTGAATTTGTTCGGCACGGCGCCTACGATGTCCCCTAGTAGCTCAAAAAATATAAAGGGATAATGGTTAGTAAGTACACTGGGCATAATTCTTGCACACAATGATAAACATACAGGCAGAATTTTAGGGTGGAAAAAACCATTTTCATGGATAAAAATTGATAAGAGGAGAGGGATATTGACGTAGAGAAAAACGTAAAAAAATCATAGTCAACTGAAGGTATCGATGAAAAGGCAAGCACTCTGTTGCTCTCGATGAACATGTGGGATGCGACTGCATCTCGGTTTAAGAGCAATGTAAAATGTCTGGGAAACAATACGAATCCCTGACCCTAAATGTATCTTCGTGTCAGTGATCAATGATACAGAACCAAGAATTTCGCAAATTATGCTGTTGAGTTTTTCTGTTTGGCAGTTGTACTTTGGAAGCGGCCTCGGCCGTGATTTACATCAGATGGGTCCCATTGTCGCGAGTACACCACGATGATGTGTCGCACTAGTTACTACGTAGCTGAAGCTGTGCCATGCGACATGATAGAAATCGCTCAATAGATACATGCGATACCTAATTTGCGTGTGATGTCCCTAATTATAATACGATTCACATATTTAGTGGTCTTCTGTCTCCTTTTATGTAGGTGTCGTAGAAGTAAAGCATAGCATATGGCGTCTATTCGTACGGTGATGGCCGCGGCGGTCAACAACTACCGCCGGAGCAACCTCAGCTTCGTCATTCAGTCAACAATGAAACAGCACCGAGAGGCTTGTTTTTCTCATCATATGAGCTATAAAGAGTCCGAAGAACTTCATAGGATAGAAGCTGGTGCGTCAACGATATGAACGACTGTAGAAGTGGGTAACAAAGCATTAGCATTTCAATGTGTATCTGTATGAATCTTCTGCGTCAAAATAAACCTGAATGTTATCATCAAAGATTTGATTTCCTGTCTTTTTAATGAAGGCTGTAGATATGTGGACTATGGGGACCTTCTTTTTCGTATGTGTATGTATGTGCGTGAACGAATCATACTAGCCGTAATCATGTTTTCGTTGTCTAGTTCATCTAAGTATCTATGTATGACATCCTTTCTTTCTGTATGCAGCAGAGACGCCGTACCTTTTCCTTCCGCTTTTTTTCAATATAAGTTTGTTTCATGGAGAATTTGTCATTTACTGTACAAGATGGAAGCTTCGCTTTTCACTTCAATCTATACAGGCGAATAGATAGAACGGTAGGGCCCCCATGTGGTACTACATCAAATTGAGTATAGGGACTAAGACCTGCATCCGAACCTACGAGGGACCAAATTGAACAACAACAAAGTTGCTCTTCAACTTACAATTTCTTGGAAATAGTATTTGAACCAGGAGAATCGAACACCAGCTGCGCTGTTGTTTCAGCTTTCCATTTGCTCCGCATCTTCTGCCTCCGAATCCTTCTCGCCGTAGAACATTCCAGGTTGCTGCCCCTGCATCATCATAGGCTGTTGCTGCATCATGGGTTGCTGCTGCATCATGGGTTGCTGCTGCATCATGGGTTGCTGCTGCATCATGGGTTGCTGCTGCATCATGGGTTGCTGCTGCATCATAGGCTGCTGCTGCATCATTGGCTGCTGCTGCATCACAGGCTGCTGCTGCATCATTGGTTGCTGCTGTTGCATCATGGGTTGCTGCTGTTGCATCATTGGTTGCTGCTGTTGCAGCATGGGTTGCTGCTGCACAGGCTGTTGCGTCATGGTACCGTAATCCTGCTTCGTCGTTGCTGTCGTTGTTGCAGTCGTGTTCTGTTGCTGCGCTCCTGCGTTATTCGTAGTCGTGGTCGTTGTTGTCGTAGTGCTCGTGCTAGTTGAGTACATTGCAGGTGCTTGCAGCTGAACCGCTGGCATCATCGTCGGCACCCACTGTACGGTGAGCTTCGGGGGCGGCGGAGGCGGCAGCGGCGCGTAGATGGTCGATGGGAGGCAGAGCTCACTGTCGCTCGAACAGGTCACCTCACCCGCCGCTGAAATTTCGTAACTGACATTCAAGTTCCTTCCGTAGGTGCTCGGGACGACGCGCGGATCGCCCGGTTTCAATCCCATCAGGAAGTTGCAGTCCTTCGATTCTTGCGGTGCGACTCCCGGAAAGCGATCCGTGCACACGACCAGGGAGCGAGCAAACTTGCGGCCACCGCGCGAGTGTAACACGACGAAGCGCGTCATCTCCGTTTTTAGCACGGTCAACTCGCTCGAGCTCTTGTTGTCGAACTTCGCATCCACTTTGATGAGCTCGCCTTGGCAGTACACATCCTTTTTAGAAGATTCTGTCATCTTGTGTGCACAGTATATCTAAATATCTATAACTTCGGGACGAGAGCCGTAAGTAGACAAAGCAAATCACCGAAAATCAATCATCAACCAGCTAAGTAATACTACATAGGCTCCGTCGAAATTGCAGCCCCAAGTAGACCAAGCACAGTTCTGGTAGATGCAACGAAGCAGGAGATCATTTTGTAAGGATGTAGATGGATTTCCGAAAGTCTTAACCTTCGCGGCTTTTAGATGAATCGTGCACTGTCCACGGTCACAGCAGAGGCAGAAGGTGACCTGCACCGATCGCGACACGTTTAGCTCTTTGGCCGGCGGAGGAGCCTGGACTACCGAAATCGGCTGTCGCGCAAGCATCGGCTCCTCATCCAAACGTAATCCCATGTCGAAAATGGAATTCCCCGAACGAAAATCGAATCGAAAATCCTTGAAGTCGCGCTCGCGTGCCTCAGCGTACATCATATACCGCGTCTCGCCATAAAACCGTTCATAGTGGTCAACCTCGTCCATCGCTGTTGTAGTTATAGTTGTTCACGTTTTGAAGATTAGAGGTATTGTACGTGGTTTTGAAGATTTCCTTATCGAAGACATACCTGTAACTAACCGCCGCATTAAATGCGACGCCGGTGGTGGATAGGTCAACTACAAAAAAATCTGTTATTCATACACGAGAAGATGAACTGCTAGAAACAAATGGAACTGAGAAATATTATGGCAGTAGCCGACCAACCAAGCATCGATACCAAGCCATCCTCGAGGCCGGGGCGTGCCAACAATACAGGATCCTGGAACGTTGGACGGCATCGGCAAGGTGAAGGGGACGCAGTACTGTCCTGGTGCGAGGATCTGCCCCACAACGCCCGCACTCGACAGCGGGGAGTAGAAATCGAACACATTGTTGGAACCATCAAATTCGTCACTTCTCTTTTCCAACCTTGTGCGACGCGGCCGATTCTCCTGCTGATAGGTTGTGTCGCTGTAGTCAGGCACAGACTCGAAACCTATAAGTTTAACAGGGTGATCTGGTCAACAAATTGAACATCATGAAATCATTTATTGTAATTATAATACTAGTGCATCAAGTAGTTGTGGAATCGAGTTTCTTCATGATTCACAACCTTGGCGGTCGTCACTGTCTTCTAGTACAACTATACATGAAATATTAAATTCACACGTGAATGAAAATGGGGTCAACAAAATGATCGCCAGAATGATCGTACTCAGTATGTATCTCTGTGCAGTCCAGAGTGTAGAATACGTATATCTGTCCAGTGCAATACCGAATCAAAAATGATCTACAGTCCAGTTCATCCAAAGAAGTGTAGAGTACGTATCTCTGTCCAGTCGACAATTTCCATGCCACGCAAGCCAACGGCTAGAGAAGTAAGTTGCGTTGGGCTTGCAATGCGGAGATGGAGACGTCCAGTAATGCTATCACCTGGCATCACCTCGTAAGCGTCAAGCTCGAGGTAAATTTAGAGCTCATATTAAGCGTCCAGTTCCATGTAGATTTATAAGCGTAAGATCCATGTAGGTTCTTAAGCCTCCACTTCCTCACTTTCTTACGAAGGAAACAGTGAGAAATGACTTGATGTAGAAATGACTTGCAGAAACTTGAGCCTTAATAGATGGCATTGCAGCTGCGACTAGCATTTACACCCATTTTGTTGAGGTTGATCCTCTTGTGCTTGTGCCAAAAGATGTGGACCGATTAACTTATATTTCCTTTTCCACCTTACCAAGAATAACGTTCAGCTTAAGCCGCGTCAGCTTTGGAGTGATTTCCCCCAGGGACGATTCCCCTGATGATGAGTCTGCGCCGGAAGCCGCAATGTAGTGGTGTTCTATGACGAGCGAGTCGTTGAATCCAGTCACGATGTAGTTTGTTATTTACGTTCAAGAATACAGTCTTCTCTGTAAGACTACGACCAAACTGCCACAGCAAGGTGCCGATCACCACTACATTATTTCAATTGAGCGAGGTTAATATGAGTCGATGTTGTATCAGAAGAATTTACATTGTCGCGCTATGTTCTTGAAGGGGTTAAGAGGAAGGGAGGAACAGTTTATGTAAGCCGGTAAAATGATTGCGCTCATGTTGTCCACCATTCATCAGATACTTGATTACTTCGATGCGCGCTCGGTGCTGCTCTAATGACCGACAAGTTTGGAGGTTATCGAAGTAGATACAGTGCTTCAGAAGATCCTAGCACTGTCACAGCTTCAGAAGGCTGCAGCCTCATTCTCATCTACCGAAGTCACACTCGTCAGAGGATTCTCATCTACCTCGTCAGAGGATTCTCATCTACCGAAGTGAGTCACACCTAGTAAGACAGCGGACTTTAACCGACAAGAATTCTTTGCCTCATTTTTTTTTCGGGTTATAGTCACCTGGAACGGGTCTGGTGCACAGATCTCGTTTGACCGAGTGGAAAATCGTACCGACGCGTGTCTCAGAGATGTGCCTCAGAGGAGCGAATAATAGTAGAAGCACATCACTTTCCGACTACGCCCAACTAACTCTTTCCGACTAAGCAGTGCGACCAAAATTCAAACCCGGGGTTGTCCACTTGATAATCGTCGTTTCCGAATTGAGTTTGATACAAGTGTCAATCGTATCAACGAAATTGCACATCAACAGCATCGTCAGTCAGTATAGCAATACTCACATAGCAATCTCCACTAACAAGTAAAGATTGAGAAGGTTGTCGCATTGGCACAACATGAACATCAGCCCAGTAAAAATAAAATTTACAATATCACCCATCAAATCATGTATCATTTTCACTTCGCACCGCGAATGTGCGACGTCTATGGAGTCACGCGGATGTCACATATTATCATTTGCATTATCATTCCATATCATGTATTATCATCATCTTTATCATCAGTTATGTCACTAGTTGTATGTCATGCACATGCGTATGCCTCTGATTCATCATCTAAGAAGCATGGACGAAATTTTGAAGGACTATGCGACAGCACATAATTTACACCACTCTTGATGAGCAAGCGAAACAAAAGGTAAAGTTTTAAGGAGGCTATCCTCCAACAGAGGAAGGCTCCCTCTTACTCTTTTCGCCGCAGGCAGCAGCACGTGAGCGATGGCCATAAGGCGCATTTCCTCCTGTGTTTGCTGGTCGTTCGACTCTTGCTCACATGCCTGGGTATCTCGGCTGCTGCTGCATCATAGGCTGTTGCTGCATCATGGGCTGTTGCTGCATCATAGGCTGTTGCTGCATCATAGGCTGTTGTTGCATCATAGGCTGTTGCTGCTGCATCATCATCGGTTGCTGCTGCATCATGGGCTGTTGCATCATCGGCTGTTGCTGCATGGTCCCATAATTTGAATTTCCACCCATGGCGGGCTGCTGCGCGTTGTTGGTAGTGGTTGTAGTGGTCGTGGTGGTGGTAGTTGTTGTGTACATCGTCGGCGCTTGCAGCACAACCGCTGGCATCATCGTCGGAACCCACTGCACGGTGAGCTTGGGGGGAGGCGGAGGCGGCAGCGGCGCGTAGATAGTCGCCGGGAGGGCCAGCTCGCTGTCATTGGAGCAAGTGACTTCCGCAGCGGCCGAAATCTCATAGGTGACCTGCAGGTTGCGACCGCGCGTACTCGGAACCACGCGGGGGTCATCCCTTTTCAGTCCCATGGTAAAGTTACACTCTTTCTTTTGTTCCGGCGCCACACCTGGAAAGCGGTCGGTAGCGACCACATCGCTCGTCACAAAGCGACGACCACCGCGCGAGTGCATCTCAACGAAGCGGGTCATCTCCGTCTTGAGCACGTTCAGTTCGCTGGTGCTCTTGTTCTCGAACTCTGCGGCCACCTGGATGAGCTCCCCTTGGCAGAAGACGTCTTTTGCACTTTTCAAGTGAATATGGCAGGTGCCGCGGTCGCAGCAGAGGCAGAAGGTAACCTGCGCGTCCGCGCTTACGTTCAGCTGCTTCGCGGGCGGAGGAGCTTGCACCACCGAAAGGGGCTGGCGCGCCATCATTGGTTCTTCATCCAAGCTGATGTTCATGTCAAAAATGGTTCCGCCCCGACGGAAATCAAATCGAAAGCCACGAAAGCCAACCTCGCGGGCTTCAGCGTACAACATGTACCGCGTTTCACCGTAAAAGCGCTCGCACTTGTCTTCCGCATCCATCTCTGTAGTGCAAAACATTTGAATTCTGTACCGCATATAGAAGACAAATTCATGTAAGGGCATGCACATCGTTTTTGACTTTCGTTCCTAGTGTATGGAGCCAAAATCCCTTCTCATTGTCATGTTTTTGTATCCAAGAAACTTGAGAATTACAACAGATTCTGACTTCTCAGATATTGTATAGAGGTTGGTTTGGTCGTCAGATAATGATATTTAGCTTCAGAAGGTGGATTCTTCAGATAATGTAGTTCACTGCGCTTTTCGCGGTACACAGACAACGCTCGAGAAAATCAAGATGCTACTTGCTAGAAGGGCCGAGCGGGCTTCTTGACGAAGATACGCAGTAGCTCTGAATTTTCGACAAATAATCAATCGCAATATGTAAACTGTACTGCTCCATCCAAGCGGTTTGCGAGTTCCAACGACGCATGACCCAGGAACGTTCGCCGGCATCGGCAGCGTGAATGGGACGCAGTACTGACCTGGCGAAAGGAGTGGACCGACGAGGCCAGCACTCGAGAGAGGCGAGTAAAAATCAAACACCTCGTTGGAGCCATCAAATTCGTCGCTGCGCTTCACAAGCTTATTGCGCTGCGGCCGGCCCTGTTCCTTATACGTTGTGTCACTGTAGTCAGGGACCGACTCGAGACCTATCATGTAGTTAACTAAGTCAGGATGGAAAATTTTGATTACATCATCATGTTGCGCACATGAAATAATAAGTAGCTGCGCTTTTGCTCGTAAAGACGCAAATTGAAGTACTACAGATGAGCTTGCGTGTGATGAAAGTCGAGCGTAGTGAACCTTTTGCGGAACGAGCGCGATGAGGCTTGTCATTTTGCGTATGAAGAATTACACTTAATACTGCCAGCGTTGTATTTAGATGAGAATGCATGAATACAGCACAAAAAACACGGCGACCACAGCACCAAACACACGAAGCGCAAAGAAATCATGCAAAACCGTACGCGTTGCCCGGAGCGCATCCGAACAAACAAACAAGGCATGAGTATAGAATTGCTTGGCCGTTTGACGTCGGATCTCTGTGCTTGGAAATAAAAGCAAAAACAAACTTCATCGACACTTAAAATTTTTAGCCAAGTTTCGCATTCCTTTCCAAATATAAATCTACAAGTTCAAAAGTCACAATCTACATACGACAGCGAATTGGCTTGCTCTCTATCGATGTCGGAATAATAGCGAAAAGGCAGCTACAGCTGATTAGTATTTTTCTATACTTGAACAAGATGCAAACTACTACAAAAGCACCAAGCGATTTGGATTCTTTAAGTACGTATTTCAGTCCAGTCCACTAGCTCCATGCCACGCAGTCCGACTGCGAGTGTGCTGAGTTGATTAGCGCCATTTTTTCACTATTCCCGATTGAGCGAGAAGATGCCCTGCGTCCCCCTTGATTCCTTTCCCCATTAAGATTTCAAAGCAGTCGTGGACGCCATCACTCAACGCATTTGATTCACGCGGGATAGTGGAAGACTAGCCTTAAGTTGAGAGGGAGTGGCTATGCGGAGATGGACGCGACCTGTAATGCTGTCACCTGGCATTACTTCATAAGCATCTAGTTCCACGTAGATGGCATTGCAGTTGCGACTCGCGTTCGCCCCCATCTTTTTGATGAGGATGTTGGTTCTCGTTTGACTTTGAAAAAAGTATGTGCTATAAGTAGTCCCTGTGTTGTCTTTGATATGAAATCGTCTCACCCTTTGAAAAAGAAAGAGAATTTTCAAGGATGTAGATGAATTATAGCACCAGGCTCACTGAGTGACGCTTTTCCGTTTCGATTTGTTCATGGACGTTACCTCTGAAAAATCTATCAGGGAGCAACAACACTAGCTCAAGGAAAGAAATTAGCCATAAATAGTTAGTAGAAGTGCCGCTAGCTATGTAAAAATAGATCAGGTAAGTCAGCAATTATAAAAAGGGGGCGAGGGAAAAATACATGGAAAGTTTCTGAGTCTATATTCCATGGGCATAAGTCATTTGGTTGCCCCTCTCGGCTAGCACATTCCAAATTTCTGACAGATGCTATCCCTCTCGCCTAGCATACTCGAGATGTCTGACAGATACAATCCCTCTCGCCAAGCACACTTTGAGTTTCTGACTGATGCGGCATCGCTTTCTCTCGACTGGTGGAAGAATAGTTGCTGTCGGCCCCGCTAATTTTCTCTCGCACTCAAACACAGAGCGAGAAGCGTCACAGATCTGACGGGTTTACTACATGCTCAAGACAGCCAACAGGGTCCGAGAAGCTCGGCTTTCAGCGTATTTCAAGCGGTGTCGGCTTCCTTCAGAAGCGATCTATCTTGCCTGGCTACGAAAAGAGTTCATATCTTCGCTCTCACATACAGAATCCACATTTTCGGCCGACAGACACTCTTTCCAACTTTTTTTGTCCTACTGTCTACAATGTCTACAAATTCAATGGATTTACCTATTTGAACTTGAATCGGGGACGCGACCCGAGCCTAGGAATGAAGAGAAAAAAGAGGCGCGACAATTCGTAGACGAACTCACGCGGGTTCGCAGAACCATCCATTTATCCACAAGTAAACAGTCACTGACCTGACAAAGAGAACGCTGTGATCTCTGCGGCTGTGGAAGTTCTTCATCTCGCGGAGGGACTTTGTTGCAGCACGAGTTGGACCTCCATCTTTATGACAAGTGGGTGCCCCGCCAGGTGCACTTCCATAACTAAAATGGGAATGCTTGTGCTAGATGGCGGGTCATGCTCACGCATTCGAACACAGCAAATCGACTGCAGTACGAGAAATCTGCGTCGCCTGATAACTCGGGACGACGATCGCCACCTTCGGTTCTTTTCACAGGGACGGGTGTATATTAGTTGGGCTGGGCGCGTTGGCGTCAGGGGGGTGCGTCTTGGTCAGCTCCCTCGACTGGGCTGGGCCGATGGACTCTGGAGTGTTGAGGCTGGTGAGCTTAGTTCGAATGGAGAACCTCGGCCCCTCTGGGCGCCCCGTTCGTTTCAGCGGTTCGCGTCGGTCTGGGAGTTCTCTTAGCTTTAGCGGCAGCTCGTTTAGCTTTTTTAGTTGCGTACACTCTTCGGTTGGCGGAGACAGGTCCGTCAGTTCGGGTAGTTAGGGGAGCCGCGCGGGCGCAGTCGTAGGTGGAGTGGTTCTCGTCTGGTTGGTTTCGCTCGGTCACTTAGTTCAGCTTGGCTAGTGTACTCTTAAACGGCATAGCCTAGCCCGCTCATTTCAGTCAGGGAACCTCAGTCCGGGTAGCTGAGTCAGGCCGCCCTTTCCCACCAATCGCTTCCGCCACGAGCCTAAAGTGAAGCGGTGGCATGCAACGAACGGCGAAAGGGACCCCGACTTTCTGTGACTTCTTCCGGCAAAGTCTTCAAGCATACGGGCTGCCTCGGGAGAAGGCAAGCCGCGGCGGCCCGCGTAGGCTATCGACTTAGCGCGGACCGGCTGCCAAGCTTGGAGCACGAGGCCGAAGCCGGGCCCGGGGGCGCGGGCTCGTGGCCCCTTGCTCAAAGTCCCCGCTCTTTTGCGAGTGCTTCCGGAAAAGTCTGCAGAAGTCCGGGCCCCCGGGGGAGAGGGCAGGCGGGCGGCGGTCCGCGTGCGTTCTCGACCTGTCGCGGACCGGCTGCAAGGCTAGGAGCATGAGGCCCGAAGCTGGGCCCGAGGGTGTGGACTCGTGGCCCTTCTCTCTCAAGCTGACCCCCTGCGACTCCTTCCAGCAAAGTCTTCCAAAGTCCGGGCCATCGGGGGAGGAGAGCGCAGGCGGACGGACGGCCGCCCGCGTAAGTTATCCACCCAACGCAGACCGGCTGCCAGGCTCGGGCCCGTGTCCCTTTGCTCTCACAAGCCGCTTCTCTGCGCGTTCTTACGGCAAAGTCTTCAAAGGTCCGGGCCTTCTGTGGAGAAGGCAGGCGGACGGCGGTCCGCTCAAATTATCGACTCGTCGCGGACCGGCTGCTCGCCCGTGCCAACTCAATAGGGACACTGCTCCCCTAGTCTTAAGAGGGGTCGACGGTGCTAGCGTTAAGCGGGGCAGCCTCACCCACGCCCCCCAAGAATCCAAGACGCAACCACGAGCAGCAGCGGAATGCGCCGGGGGATTCGTGGGGGGCCGCGGCTCACGGTGTTTGCGGGTGGCAATGTGTGGCGCGGTTCGCCCGTTCCTTCTTGGAGTGGTTCCCGAAATTGGGTAGGTCCCTCCACTGTGTACCGCTTCCCCGGGCGCAAGGCCATCTTTAGAGGAAAACCAGAAGGCTTCAGCTTCCGCATTTTCCGCAAACATGGCCTTGCGCCCGGGGAAGCGGTACGCGGTCGAGGGGTCTATTCAATTTGGGAGACCACTCCAAAGAGGAGACCGCAGGGAGCCCGAGCGGGCTACCTTTCACGACGCAGAACCCCTCCCGGAGTCTGCCTTCCCTACTCTTAGAAGAGTCGCCTGCACTAGTCTTAAGACACGACAAGGGAAGTGCGGTCCCTCCCTATCAAGTTGGTACTGGTAAGCCTGGAGCATGAGGCCCGCAGCCGAGACCGAGGGTGCGGACTCGGCGCCCTTTGCTCCGGGGCCTCGGCTTTCTGCGACTTCGTCCAGCAAAGTCCCCCAAAGTCCTGGCCTTCAGCGGAGGAGAAGGCAGGCGGGCAGGCGGTGGCCCGCGAAGGTTATCGACTTATCGCGGACCGGCTGCCAGGCGGGGAGCACGAGGCCGCACACCGCGGCCGCAAAATCTATGAGGCCATCGGGAGGGGGGAGGGTGTAGTGGGGGGAGGGTGTAGTGGGGGGAGGGTGTAGTGGGGGGAGGGTGTAGGGGCTATATTTTCCTCGATAGCGGTCTACGGGGGCTTTCGCTGTGGAAGTTGCAGAAAGTCGCGGATCTCTCGGTCGCTGCAGCGCAGCGGCGACGAACATCGCGGACCGGCTGCCGGGCTTGGAGCATGACGCCCGAAGCCAAGCCCGAGGGCGCGGACGCGTGGCTCTTTCTTCTACGTGCCCCGCCCCTCTCAGAGTCCTCTTGGGAAGGTCTTCAAACACCCCGGACTTTGGGGGAGAAGGCAGGCGGACGGCGGTCCGCGTAAGTCGTCGACGTACCGCGGACCGGCTGCCAGGCTTGGACCATGAGGCCCGAGGCCGAGCCCGAGGGTGCGGGCTCGTGGTCGTTTGCTCCAAAGGCCCCGCTTTCTTGAAAGTTCTCCCCGGGAAGTTTTCAAATATCCCGGACCTCGGGGGAGAAGGCAGACGGACGGCGGCCCGCGTAAGTCGTCGACTTATCGCGGACCGGCTGCCAGGCTTGCAGCATGAGGCCCGCGACCGGAGCCGCAACACCTCGCGGGCCTTCAGTGAGACCTCCTTAACGGCAGCGCCGCCCTCTATAGGGGCCGCCGAGGAAATCCGCGGGGGCCTTGTCTTATATCGCGAAGCGAGTATCAATAAGTTTAGTTTTTCATTTTCTCCCTTTTCCTTCTCGCCTTGTCTTATAGACCAAAACATCCACTAGATTCCCGGCCTTTCCACTCCTGCAAAGGTAACGGGGATGCCGGAGGGGATCCCACAGGAGGCCAATTACATTCCGCGGCCCCGGTTGCAAGCCCCATGCCCCGAGCCTGGCAACCTAGTGGGGCTCCAGTGGGGTCCCCCTAATAGTTTCCCGGCTGCCTTTGTTCATGGCAGCACATTTTCCGGTAGCCGTGTCATCCAGAACGAGGATGGATTAAGCCATCACATGAGAAGTGAAGATAGCTAACGAACAGGTGAATATTTGCATCATTCAAGAAAAAGGTCTTCCTCGCAATGAATTACAGTTACAGCCCACAGCACGTGTAGTAGATGGGGCAGGTGAGGTCACATGTAGCACAACTGAAGCCAGATATTCTAGTTATTGAGTGAATGTGAAGAAGATTTAAGTAGGCTATCTAAATTACCAATACCCAGTGATGGGACGATAAATTTCACAGGCAGCAATGGAATTGAGGGATGGTTTTGTGAACATCCACAGTGGCAAAAAGCATGAGACGTCCCGCTTGGAATCCCCTAACGGGTGAATCAGCATAGGTGGTGCCTACGTCTCAGGGGTGCTAGTACCTACATTTTTAGTACCTACCTTCAATGAAGGAGCTTCAACAAATACGTTGTAGCTGTAGTTACTTCTACTAAATCAGATACTAGATTTTAAGAATTTCTATGATGAAGAAGAGGAAGTAGATCCCAATACAACTTAAATCTAGTCAGCCCGCTAGGTTGCAGTCTCAAATGCCATCGCGAATCTGTTCTATCGACGGATGAGAGAAGGACGGTGGCAAAGCCAACACGAGGCCTGTAGCCTTCTCTGCTTCTATTGACACTAACGGAGAGCAAAACTTCCAAAAAAAAATGTGTGAGTAGGTGAAAAAATTTCCTGAAATAATTATCCATCTGCGTTACCACGGACGCTACACAAATCTAGATCGACCAACAATCGAGGAAATCAAATCTGCAGCTTCTCTGTAGTGCCTTTTTCCGAGTCGTCTTTCTTCGCGTACATATAGCTAGGTGAACTCCCTCCTCGGTCCTACGACAACTCGTTCTCAAGCTAGTAGACACAAACGGTGGTGTATTTCTGTGTAGCCTCCCCTGCTAAAAAGTCTGGCACTCGAGTAAAATGTTGGTCGCCTCCCGGCTGCCGGGCACGCGACAAGGGGGGGAGTGATCGTGGGTCATGTGTTTGCCCCTGATGTGGCCCTTCTTGACCATCGTGGAGTTACATTCTACTACACAGTATTGCCATCTTGGTCCGAAGAACTAGCTCAAAAAAAAACTTGCGAGAAACACCAAATGGGGCTATGTCAGAAGTTGAACAAGAAGGGCACAGCATGGGAGGCATTTATATACTGAATGAAGCTGTAGACACTAACGATTTTCTGAGTGAAGCTCAACAGGAATAATAGCAAGCTCAAGGGGATCCTTTGATGCAAATGCAGGTGTTTAACATTAAAACTAACCTGCCACAAAAAGAATTTGCGCAGACTCTGCCGCCGGCAACAGATAGGAGAGATCAAGTTGTGTCAAACAATTTCGAGGTTTTTTAGATACATCGTTTTATCTTTGATCGAGAGAGAACATACTTCTAAGAATTGAACGAATACAAATTACAGAATCACCAAGTGACAAGACAGCACTCTACCAAGTAATGACATCGACCCATTGTTCAGGGGCTGGCGGATTCTTCGAGTAAACTTAACACTAACTTTAACAAGATGCTAATTCACTAATTTCTGTGTCAGGGAGAAAACAGTGGGGCTTCGTTTCCACGCCGCTTGCAGAAGCTTGAGTTCTTTTTTGTTCCGACGTGAGTAGAAGTAACAAGGATCAGCCAAGACTCCACCAGTGATGCGATAGCCAGGTGCAGAGGCTCAAGCAGCAGCTATAGAAGGCTGCAGACTCTCGGTTTTCATCGGACCCTTGTCAGCATCATACTGCGTAGCCGCCGCGGCCGCCCGTGCCGCCTTGTCGCACTGCTGATTGAGTACTCGCAACGTGAGCAGAAACTCTGTTCTGTCGCTCACGCTCGAAAATATCAAGCGATTACCGCGGATGCGGACCGCTCGACTGTAATTCAGAGAAGGAAAGAATTAGTTTCAGAACAAAAAGACATGGAAATATATTGTAAGAAGTCAGCTTTTTGATGTAAACTCGTGATCTTCTTCGAAAATTATGAATCAATAGAGGTACTTTGTGTCCTCGTTGGCGTCGACTGTTACTGTTTCCTTCGCGAATGGCAGAGGTATTTCTTCGGATCCCACGATTAGGATTTCGCTGTTATCGCGTTTTAGAAGCCGAAGGGACACTACATCGGTACACACCTGATACTCGCCCGTCGTTCCTCCTTCGAAGCCGCTGCTTCTACTCCACGCGCCGTCGCCGTTAGCTTCTCTGTTTTCCCCCTCCTCGTTGTTGCCGCGCGATGATGAGACCTCGTTGGGACTGTTCGGTCTGCCATTATTCGTTGCGCCTGCCGTGGTCGGTATTCCGTTACAACTGGTTGATGATTTGCTACTAGAAGTACAACTAGATTCGCCGTGGTTTTGATGTCCAGCATTGCTCTCTGATGCAGCTCGACCATTCGGAGCATTCCGTGGACTATTTGCAGCCCCGTTTGCCTGTGCAAGGCCACCCTCGCGATCGCTCCGGCTGCTTCCGCCTTTCGATGGACCCGCACTCTCGGACGCAGCTTCGGCCCATGCAGTTCCACCAGGAGATATTGGAGAATTGTTCTTGTTCAGCGAGGAAGCGCTCGACGAGGACTCCGAGTCAGGGAACTGATGAAGTGACCTCGAGTTCTCGTTCCCTGGTTGTACCGTTCGCGTCCGCTTCACGTCAACACCTACCCGTAACTTAGCGCCCCATGCGTTCACCCGCTGCGCTGTGTCTCGAAGCATTTGCTGACGATTTTGCGCCCTGTAATTTCCAGAAGTGAATATCCTCGATACGCCAAAAAGAATTGTCGCTTTTGTAGAAAAAAATTTCATTGCTATTTTCTGGTAGAAAAATAAACGTCTTTTGAATTTGTGCTAGATAATAAAGAGAATGACCAAGAAGTTGCATCAGTGTGCTGTCGTTTGTGCGATGCCTCACCTTATCATACTTGAGACTTAGTCATTTTCATATACCCCCTGTCTATGGATTTCTCAGACATCGTCGACAGCACAAACATTAGTCCTCAAAACAGAAACCAGAACAACTGTTTGACAATAAGGTTAATACTGGACAGCTGCAGCTGACGTAGCAACCGGCGACGTTGCAACCTGAGGCCTAGTAGGGGAGTCCTGTTGCGGCCTTCGCGGAAACAGGGTCTGATACAATTGTGACCAGGAACTAGGCCTGCCTCGCGACAGCCTGGAAGAGTCTAACGCTACGCGCACGGTTTCTACCATGAGCACGCACACCACGGCCGCAGATGTGATAACGATCTTGCACGCAACGGGGTCCTGCAACAAGAGCGCGCCATGTCGCGGTAGGATCCATGTCTCCAGAAAAAGGAAAACCGAGTCTAGGACCTGGGAAAACGAACTACTCGAAGAGGCACTGGCACCAGACGCCATGGTAGCAGTCGCGTAGAGAGAGCTGTCCACTATTGTCCGGTGCTCTCCTCCGGGAGTTGCTCCTCTCGGGACTCCTGAATCTCCGAAGCCGGCAGCTGCTTCCGCGGAGCCCGCAGAGCGATGTGTTGTATCCACACTAACTCCTGGATGGCTCATGGCGGGGGTCACGCCACTTCTTGCACGACAAACTTTGTATGTGACACGCCATCTCGTCTACGCACACCCATATCTTTCCGTTCCCTTTCACAAAAAAATAAGAATCTGAGTTCGTTGCAACATAACAAAAAATCAAATCTTGTTCATCGGCATTGACAACTAAAGATACCGTGGAGACACAAAAGTGGTTGTAATACGAAGAAATGTCGGACTAGGAGGACAAGCGAATCACAGTCTTCCTCGTCAGAAAAGAACGCAATCCAACATTGTCTTTGGTTCTTTACCATACACTTGCAGCGTACCCTTAGGACCATCTCCAAGAATATAACTTTGCCAGTGCAGCCTTTCTCATGTTTACTCTCAGCGACAACGACTCCCCGCCATCACTGTCTTCTGGCGGACGTGCCAAATTAGATTGAGGATGGACTATTCATTTGAATAAAATTCTTGTAAAGCTCCACGTACATCAGCCCAAGCATGAAAGCTGCGAGGTGTGTCCGTTACTATACACGCACACACTCCTTACTGAAACGAGTGCGCACGAAACTTCACACGAGAAGAGAGCAGCAACGACCACCACGGCCGCGGATAGTCTCGATTTTGGGTTTCACTCTTCTGAGAACATGCCGCTGAGTAGCAGAGAGATCCACGAGGAACGGCAGCGGCTCATGCATTCAAAAGATGTTCAATTTCAATTTATTCGGAATGTTGATACGATTTCTCGGAAGCCTGTCTATTCTTAACGGGGACCGATTACGGATTCAATATTTCGGAGCTTGCGCGACCTACACATAAAACAGATCACCTTCATTGACTATTTCTGTGTACGACTGCTATCCGGAGCAGGCTATACGCTAATTTTAGAAGAGCGATTACAATGCGAAGATCGACCTACACCCAAAAAAAGACGCCCTTCAAAATATATCTTCAAAAAAAGCACATCGGATTATCTACGCAATTCGAAGTTTAAACCACTGTATCATGAGTTGACTATAAATTCTCCAAAACGCATTCTATTCAATTTTTGAGCAAAAAGACTGATGCATTGATCGTCTATCTTGACTGTTCAGATTATAAAATGTTTCAGACGTCGCGTACGTTTCAAAACCATTCCACAGAATAGTGAAGGCTTACCAGGTGTACGTGTCGTTTCGATAGTTACATGAGATGAAATGGTGCCTTGGACAGAGACGCTAACTTGTAGATAGTTGTAAAAGTAGAAGTAGCGCAGGGCGGTCTATGAAATGATTTAATTTCGGAGAAGTGCTTGAGTCCTTCACAATCATCGACTAGCAGATGCCGTAGTCACACTCGTTCACGAGACGCAACAGTTTCGATAAGTACGGGCTTCCAGAAGTTGTAAATGAGGTAGTAATAGTCGTACTAGTGGCGTGGGCTCTTCTTGTGAGCGGTATGCCGTCCGAGTTTTACTCCCGCAAGAAGCGTATACGAGGACCTAAATGATAGCAGCGGCACCTCTCAATTCTCACACACGAAGCGTATCCACAACAACTGGCTCTTCTTCTTCCTCATGAGCCATATTCAACTGAGTCACCTGACATCGTTCTAGTTCTCTAGTTCGATTCGACAGACCAGTTCGTCCTAGTTCTCGCGCAAGAAGCGTGTCAAAATCTTCTGCAAAGTGAAGTAGAGTGTTTGTTGACGTACTTTCTCCGCCGCTTGCAGGCGGTGCACCATGGCATTCGCTGCGATGCATTGGTCGATCAAGCGCTGCAAATTCTTCTTGGAGCTCAAAACAATTCATTTCTTGCGTACCTGTCTCCGAATCCGAAGAAGGAAATAAGGAGAGAAGGCTTCTAAAAATGAATTGTTTTGAGCCTTAATCTTCAACTTGAGAAAAAAGTCGGTATCCTCGGTCTCCAAGGCTTGTATGGACGCGACTAGCTTCGTGAAAGGAAGCTCTTCAGGATCGCTGCAGGGTTAGAGGGAGCATTTTTGGTGTTCGAAGTGGGTAGTAAATGCAGTAGTTGAAGTAGCTAGCAAAAAAACATCGCAGGAGCCATCACTGCACACAACTCAACATACACTCTTCTGTGGGGAGGTCATTACATAGTCATAATCCAGGCACACACCTTTGAACATAGACCTGTCAGTTTCATCTACAAATATCCGAAATCAATGCATAGATGCTTTTCACTACACCAAGTTTAGATCTACGATAAGCGCTAGATAAGCATAAGCATCTACTCTATATGATAGATCTACATAATAGATATGTTTACAGTCGTAGACCATAATAGTTTCCATCCTTGGAGGCAAAGGACTGCATGTGACCCTCGACTGAGGCAATTGCTTTGTCGCTCTCTAGCTGGTCGTACGTTTCTTGAAATTTTCGTCCGACGACAGCCACAGGTATGGATGATGTTATTTCTCCCCTCTAGGGCCAGACCATCGAGGCCCTCCTTCAGCTATACAGTTCTAAGGGGAAAAGGGGAACCTCGATGATATGTTAAATGGGAGGATGAGAAAAATAATCATCCATAACAGGCAAGGCGATCAGCAGAATACCTGTTTGAAATAGCGCGTTATTTAGAAGCTAGTCAGCTAGAACTTCTATATAGTGCTGCTCCTTAGGTAGTTAAGCTACAACTGCAACACAACTTTCCTGATGAACGTTGAGACGAGACCTGAAAGTGCTTCTAGACAATCTAGGTAGCATTTCTCGAACAGACTTGTTTTAGGAGATAGTCTCTCGAAATTTTTTTCTCGAATAGAATTTTCTTAGGTTCCTTCGAAGAGAATGCCCCCGCGTTCTTCGTCAGACACGATGTAGAGATGCCCCATTCTGAGACGTAGTTTTAGACAGAGGTAGAGATGACAGACAAGAGGTGGAGATGCAGATGTAGCTATAGCAATAGAGATGACCCATTCTGATACACGTTTCTTCGCCAACCGGTCTGGCAAAAAAGTCCTATTCAGATACCAGGAACTGCTTCTACTAACGAAGATACTGGAATAACTCTAAGTCATTCATCTCCGCGTCGTTGTGGAAAAGCAAAAGGCTGCACCTTACATATGGAAAGCAAACGTGTATGCAACGTGTGTTGAGCAAGTAGCTGTACCTGCCAGTAGCGCAAGCGACGCCACGACTTGTCCTTGTGGTGTCCGTGGCACTATATCGCCTTATTTTAGAGCGCACGAAGATACTGCAATCCCCAAAATCTTTCTCGTTTCGAATTTTGAGGGTAGGGTAAACTTAATGATAGAATGGTAATACTACAGTTTTTTGAAAAACTGAGCGTTCCAACATGTGAAATAACCGAGAACTTGTTTGAAGCAAAAGATTTTTCAAATTGAAACTCATGTTTCTACTGATTCTACTCTGCTACTAGTGATTCTTCGTTCTCAATATCCTGGATTATCTCCTGGAATCCAGCTCCCTAACAGTCGCATTTCGTCATGCTAAGCATTCTTCTCAGATTTTCAATTTAGTACTATCGGAAGCCGTAAATATCCGACCGTGGTCATGTTAGAACTAGGAGAAATCCATCTTCAGCAGTATCTTGGGTCCTGCTTCACCTTAAAAAACGGGACCATGATGCCTGTGAAGATGGATTCTAGCCTTAATCATGGTAACAACGTTCCACCAGACCGCAGTAAGAATATTCGGGAAGTCGAGAGACGTGTCATGCTGGTCACAACACAAACCGTACGTACTAGAGTAAAACTTCCCGCCCGTTGATGCCTCGCACTCAGATATGAAACCGAAATCTATTCTCATTTGTATCGCACTTTATTTCTACGTAAGTAGAAACTTGACAATGATAACAGATTTTCGCTTCATATCAGATACGTAAGTTGTCCAGTCCTCCTCGTTCCACTTCCCGCCTGGGCCTTTTCCTCCGGTCTCTTTGTCCGGGCATGACAGCTTCTCAAAATAATAGATCACGCTCGAAAATAATATCACGCCGATTGCTGTCGCGGATAGTAACAAGCAATCGTGACTATTAAAGGTGTTACTATTCAAAGTGTTACTATTAAAGGTGCAATGTAATTGAAGTCACTACTCTGCTAGTACTTAACCCTTTTCGAACCAACTATTCCTTCACACGTTGGCTGGTATAATGACACTTTTGGGTACAAGAGCATCATTCAAAATGTCAGCACGCCTGCCTCAAAGAACAGAAGGCCGCCACAAAAGCCTACATAAAATACAAAAATGACACTAAATCACACTCATGTACCAAGAAAGAAAAGCAGGACGAGGAGGATCTGGATCGAATCGAATATAGCATGGAACATGAGTTGTAGTGCAGTTGAGTAGCGACCCAATTTGAAAATGCGAAAAAGGCGGACTAATCGGATAGCTCGCAAGATTCGAAGGAAACCCGCGCCGCCTCCTTGAAATAAAACTTCGATGTAAAGCGGTGCAATCGCTAACAGATCACAAATGTTCATCGGCTGCGTCAAAAATCCGCGGACTGTCTTATCCGGCAAGACATTGCATACCTGCCGTCAAAATCACCGGGCTGGTAATATAATCAGCATCATCTTCTTGGTATCTAAGTTATCTTCGTAGTATGAAGATCAATATAGCACCATGGGCAATTCTAAGACGCAAAAAAAAAATGACACCCATAGCCTGAGCGCAAACTCGACCGAGAAGACCAGCGTACAGAACCAGTCGACCGCTAGCCAGACGTCCTTGTGAATAACAAGTCCCTTCGATTGGTTCGGGAGTTCAACGCCGTATTTGTCGACATCGGGCATAAACGAGGGCGAGGTCTCCGCGACCAGGGATGCGATACTGAAGATGATCTATTTAGAGGTGGTAAGAGCTCAAAACCGACTTTTGGCACCTCCAAAAATGGGCATCTACTTCTTGTAGCTATTATATTCAAACTTAGAAAACGGATCAAAAGACGCTGGTATACAAAGAAGTTGGGTTGGCGAGACAACACCACAAGCATGACTGATGCTGAAGAACGTTAGAATCAGTGATGTAAACGACGATAGCGTTGTACATCAAGATAGAATCTTAATGACTGCAAGGATGACCAGCGATACTGTTTTTGCGGCCTTGCTGCTTTGCGCGTCCTCGAAGAGGCGATATATCGCCAGGCGCAACGATGATTAGAAGGATCTCATTTGCAATAATTTGTACAACGAGTTGTACAACTTTTGAGCTAAATACCAAAGCATAGTTAGTAATCCCAGATCCCATCTTTCACCCGTTTTCGCCTCTTACCTTAAAACAAAGGCAAACTGAGCTTTCAAATAGAATATCACTTGACGATTTTTGGAAGATATTGATTTTTGAATTTTTTTGAAGATTTCTGGATGCCTTAATGCACCATTTCGACGGAATAGATTTTCGACTTTGGCGTGTTGGCCAGCTCGTGCTCCACCGCACGACTTCGCACCATGCGGCACCGCCATTGGCTCTGAATCCGTAGTGCCGCAATGGTTTCGATTTTCCGTGCGGTAAGACATCCACCTTAAAAAATATAGGGTTCGAACATAGATCTCCTAGTTGTTCAGTACTTGTAGTCGGGTAAGCTGAACACGCAAAGCGTGAGAGGAGATACATCGTATGCATTAGCAAGAACTAGAACCCTGGGTTCGAACATAGATCTCCTAGTTGTTCAGTACATGTAGTCGGGTAAGCTGAACACGCAAAGCGTGAGAGGAGATATGTCGTATGCATTAGCAAGAACTAGAACCCTCCTTTACATTATGACCGAGTGAAAGTTTTGAAAACCCTCCTTCATATTATAATCAAGAACAAGGATTGCGGTCTTCGAGCTGCTCTATATCACACATTAATGTAAATTCGCATGATTTGAACCGAAGGGACCAAGTCATACTACGTACATTTGGAAGTGATACTACTCAGACTATACGTAATCGCGTAAGATTCGTAAGGGTGTTCACTCAGAGAGACCGTTAGAAAGACCGGACGTAGAAGCCAGGTTCTCCTTACGTTATCCGTACGATATCGATTGATTGATATGGATTGATATTGATTGATTGACCGAGTGAGTGAGTGACCGACTGATTGATAGAAAGGCCGATCGAGTATATTCGGAGTCGCATAACCTTGCTAACCTTGGATAGCCAAGAACCTATTTCACAGATGAGACGAAAAAAACTTCCCGATGAGGAGAGTAATAAGTTTATCTTAATACGTTATTATCACAATCAGAGTGTAGACCGTATGGTACTGATCTGATTAAAAGTTGCAGATATACCTGTTTCTATCGGTTCGGTGAGTACGTTTTCCCATCGAGAGCCGAGAGACATTTGTCGGATGATTCTGGCGTCATTTTGTGGATCGGCAGGATTAAAGCAGGTCGAAGAGGTTGCCTAGGCGTGAAAATAGGAGTACTTCTTCTGTTACAACTTACTCGCTGTCGTTGATCCGAGCCCTTTGAGGTTCAAAATCTGTAACCCGCTAGTCGGTTGAATACTGCCCGTTGGCTTCGAGGTAAGGCCAGGGTGGATCACATAAATGAAACGAGGGAACTCTTCTTTAGAAAACAAAGACGAGACTTGCAATGCCAATATCGAGTTCCTTGAAAAGACTTCAGACGAGAGAAAATCAATCGACTATTTTTTTTGTGCTAAGTAAAGAAGGACCACTATGGAAAAACGAAACGCTTACTCATCCTTCTTAACGAGATAGCGCCACCTGCGTCGGGCTGAATTCTCGTTTCTCTTCTTGGAAACTTGGGAGCCTTGATGCCGCAAGTTCTTCAGATTACTCGTGCTTATCATGATCGCGACACTAGTATAAAACACCGAATTAACGAGAGTCCACTGTGGCAGCTGCATGGAGGAGAAAAAAAACACTCACTTTTAATATAGTCTTCATTTTCCATAAGAAGAAGAGCGTAATTCCGCGTGTGAGTGTGTTTTCTTTCTTCATAACATCTACCTTCGCATTATTTCTTGAGATTTGGGTCCGCTACTACTATTTCCAGGTGACACCATTAATTGTGGTTTTGTACGTGCGGTAGTTGATGTTGGGACGAATCGTAATTCGCGTCTACGGTGTGACCCTTCGAAGATAATTCGTCTCTGCAGGGAGGTGAATGTCGTTGCATCTATCCCCTCTGCGGTCGTGCTGTCACCTCGGCCGCAGAGTGAAAGGTGACCAAGGGCATTGCTTGAAGAACCAGGTCTGTGCCCAGCAGTGTCGCTTGTGAGATCAACTAATTTAACGAGCCGCAGGGGTGCGTCATGTGATTTGTGTGCTATCGCTTTTGACACAAGGAGCTAGAGCTCGTCCCCGTTCTGAGCTTATCCTCAAGCGCTCCCTCTGACATTGCTATTTTTCTTCCGACTCTTTTGCATACCACGTGCAGCAGATGATACCACACTCGAAGACGCTCACGGCCTCTCAAGAACATTGCAAGTCGGGCGGGGCGTCGCGCGCTTCCATACGTCGACCCCAAATAGTGCGAACTATGATTCTCTAGAATGTTACGGCTACCGATCTTTTCCCCGGGGCTGCTGATGCAACTTTTTTGAACAACACACGCAAGAACAAAAACAAATTGGCGCGTCGCCGCGCGTTTCCGCGGTGAGGTGGCCCCTCCTCTTTGTGCCGAGGTGGCGGTGAGCTGAGAGACGGGGGCAGAGCAGAGCTAGCTTGGGAGATGGAGCCGCGGGCTCACGCCGGGTGGGGTCACATGGGGGGCGGCTGGGATAGGCCGGGCGCCGCGCTACGGGCGAAGGCCGGGGCCTCCGCTCCGCTTTCATCCGCGGTGGACTCGGTTGCAAGCCACCCCGGAGTGGGGGCGAGGTGTACTGTCGAGAACACGGACTCTGCGGCATTCCGCGGTCATTTTTGAAAGCTTCTCGCGTGGATGGGCTTCGAAAAGCCTCGAGGCTTCATTTTTCAAAATGGTTTGGGAGCTCTTCGCAGGACTAGACTCCGGCAGCACAGCCAGTGGAGACAGCTGACTGGCCTGCTTCCTTACTGTTTTCAAAATGTTCAAGGAGAAGAAAAAAGAACGGAGAAGAACAAGCCCCGAAAAAATTGGAACCCAGTGGGGGCCGGCGTGAATAGCCTGAAGCACCTTGTTGGGCTCTAGTCGTGGGCCTGCAAACTGGCACCCATTCGCAGTCAGCGCCCGACCGATCAAAAAAACCAAAGGAGCCAAGAACGTGGCCACCCTCGCAGAAGTAAAAAAGAAAGACTATTTAAAGCATTTCTTTTTTTTAATGAGAAGCGTCTTCACATCAGCTCGCCCAGATAGCCCCACGAGAAGAACTCATCGGGGAACTGCATGAGCATGCCCGGAGCCCCTTACGCAGTTCGATTCCCGCATGGTATGAACTGCGTGCGCAGTTTCTCGCCTTATTTCAAAATATTCACACGAAAACTATTCCCGCAGTTAAAAAAATGCTCGCAAATATTCGGCAAATATTCCCAAATATTCTCCAAATATTCTCAAATATTCGCAAAATATTCGAATGCTTTTAAATATTCACAAAAAGAGGACGAAAAAGAAAAAGAGCGTCGCAACGTCTCCGACAAAAATCCCCGCAAGGGTTTCCCGGATCTCCTTATCGGTTTCGCTTCGTCGTATTCATTCCCCCAAAAGACTGGCCACAGACGGGAGGTCTCATCGGTCTCCACGTGGCGGCTTTTCGATAAAACAGCGCGCGCCTCCATCATCCATCTGCTTCCACTTCTTTCATTTCGCGAGATACGCGAGAGAGGTCGTCGCCGTCTTGTGTTCCCCTGGCTTGGCTCGTCTTTGTTCCAGTTTGGTCGGCCTGTGTTCTGCTGGCCTGGCTGCTCTTGTGTTCTGCGTCTTCTCATGCGCTCCCCTCGTGTGCTCTTGTCGTGTGTCTAATCTCTGTGCCGTGGCGCGTCGTCTCTCTGGCGGCCATAGGCCGCCAGGGACGAGG